CTATGTAGAGATGCAATGATTGGCTCCTAGAACCCCTGGTACCATGTACCAGTATTACAAGAGTGACTGGTCACTCTTCATGTAACTTGGGTACACTGGGGTTCGTTCCCCGTTACATATATCTACACGCAGGTCGTGGCCAAGCGATCTAATAGTAGTTTCATGTGCTGTCCAGAACAGTGCTCCCCCCTACTTTGCTGTCATGTGGTTATGTTCCATACTGAAGTAAAATAGAGCCGTTAAACGTAAAAGTACAGAAAACCCTCTTTGTAGTGATATCGTCGGAAAACCATGTTTTATTACTATCCGGGGGAATCTCAATCAAGAGTTGTTTCACTACATGCACAAGGGTACCATTGAGTAGGTGGTTACACCACTGACCTCCTCACCACACTGACACACTATAGTTAACGATGTCTGGATAGTAATACTCGTTAACTATGTTTCATAAGTACAATGTGGAGGGTAGAGGTAGCTTTGACTTCTATACTGACAGCCAGCGGGAGACCTCTTTAACTAGAGGGTATCACCATTTGGGATATCACTCCAAAGAGGATTGTCTGTATGGCTGGAAAGGTTAGGGTCACAGATTGATACGATCTTATCACTTATAAGAGCGTATAAGAAGGAAGTCGGTGTGGCAACCGAGGGTAACGCTGCTAGCGTCTGGTGGTAAGTGCACTCCACCTTACCATTTCTACAAGGTGGCTAAACCACTACATGTACACGTACACGTATGCCGTGTGGACTGTGGCAGTGCCACGGTGGCAAGGCATGTGCGCACGACTCATCGAAAAATAGGAAATATGTGGAATGCAGGACTCCTCAGTCAAGATACCACTGGCAGTTGATATGTTCTGCACAAGTACCCGTCATTCAGTACTACTGTACTGGTTTCTCTACTGCGTTCAGCACTACGGCATTCCTTACCTACACCTCAAGTGGTTTGACTTCACCTCTGCAGTCTACAATAACGCCGAGGATCTAATACTAAAAAGTGGCTAGTTTTTTTAACGAGTCGGATGATGTAATCAAGATCATTTACCATTGTTAGTTATCATCAGTGATAAAAAGTCAAAAGTATTTCGTGTGGTTTTGAAGTTGAAGCTCTCGTCCAATCATCGGCCCGGTCAATATTAGGCAGCAACTTCGTTAGAAGCAGAGTGGACACTTTCGGTGCATAAAGCTCAACTTTTTTTGTCATGTTCGTGGCTGCAGCAAAGAGCAAAGATTGAAGGGCGAAGAGCACATGACTGACTTCGTTGAGTCACGGCCAGCAGCTCAACCCGCATTTCTGACGACCCATGGTCCATAAATCAGGGCTCCTGCGCGACTTACGTGCCATCGAAGACGGTTGGAAGATGATTGCTTTGTATGCATGGTACAGTAAAGGCTGCGTTTCGTTGCGCTGCTACCAACCGTCGTTCCCCGTCTGTCGGACGGTCGGAGCCTCGTCAGCAAAGTTTGCTGAGCAAACGTGCGTAGCGTACCCACCGAATTTGTCGCAATTCGGTGTGGACCTGAGATCGCCAAGCACGATAACAGGAAATGCGTACACGGGTTTTACTCAAGCCTGTGGTCTGTAAATTGGTGACGGGATTGTCATCGTGTGGAGCGTTACGGCGCGAAGTTGTACTTTTCCCTCACGATTGTGACAACGGGCACCGAAGAGGACGCTGTTGCGCTGGAAGCGCGGATTTGTGGGGCGGAAAAGGTTGGTCACGGATAGTGAGGAACAATCGAGTGTTTACAGAGATTTTAGCCGCCATGTGGGCTGCGTCTCCCCTACTGCTGCTCGTAACGAAGGTGAAACGAAAGCGTCCACCGTTCTGACATAGAGCGGTCGCTTTTAGGCCAATTCGGGTGTCATTTCGAGGTTTAGTACACGGGTTCAAGTAAATTGATTGAACAGTGCCATACTCAGCATGACTAGAGAGTCCAGCGACTTGCAGATGCACGGGCAAATTGCCGACAAGGTCGAGCAAGTGATGTAATACTCGCTTGAACACTCGTTGATGTCGACTTCAGCAACAACCGGCCGTCGGCTAATTCGCTAGTTTTAGCATTAATCTCTCGTCAGCGCATCCAACGCTCCGGTCTCGTGTGCTGTCCAGCTGGAGAGCCAAACATCGCCTGTGTGGCTCACAGGCAGCGACGCTGCAGAGCCTTTGCGGTACGTTGCAGTGACCCGGTGCTGGGCGGCGAGTTGTTAGACATAAACGAGGAATATAGCAAAGCCGGTTCGCTGACTTGGTTACGAGACATTCGGTGGATACCATCCAGCGCAAACAACCAAGGTGGACACAAATGAAATTCCTCGCGAGCTGCTGCCGTCGCCGAGAATGCACCGTCTAGCGATTGGAAGGCCGCAGCGCACCGAAAGCAATCCACGCAAAAAGTAGCGATCGCCATTCGTGCCTCGTGCTGACGTGGCTGTTGGAGGCTGTCGAGGCCGACAGTCTCAGGCAGCCTTCTGCATCACAGTGGGTTGTACTCACCAGTGATCCGTCAGCGTCCTCCATTTGAAGTCCAATTTGCAGAATCCTAATTTCGATCACGTGGCGATGGTGGGAGTTGTGAGGTAGGGAGCATCCCTCAGCTTACAGTACACTTTTGCTTGGTAAACTGCAACTTGCAAAGTCTCCGCAATTTTAGTAAAATCGACTTGAACATCCAGGCGATTTACACCGAGAGCTGCTGCCTCAAACGACATAATTGTTGGCTATATGTACTTGAACGTTATCACGTCTTCAGCCTATCTATCCTCCGAGGATTCCTTGCGTCCAGGGCTTTTTCGTACAACAGCCCGTGCATCGTTGTCAACCTTAGCCTTTCAATCATCACGAAGACGCGGAGTACGTGCCTGCCAGCAGGCGGTCGAGCGAAGACCTATCCTGCGCTTGCTCTCAAACGCTGCCGGACCTTTCCGTCCCACTCGATATTGAGGATCGGCCGTCCGACCGTCTGCTACCGAGCCAGTCGCAGTCTGCTACTCTAGCTGCACGTACATCCGGGCTCTGCTCTCGATGCATGTACAACGAACTGCACTGAGCTTGCAAGTCCTCTCGACGCCGCTTCGTCCGGCGTGGCATCTACCGACTTCGATCGCCCGATGCAGTGAGCTAGCCCTTGCAGTCCCACCTAGCATTGACTCAATGCGACGTAACCCACATACGCTCTTTCCGCGAGGACAGCCACTTTGCAACAGCCGTTGCCGTCGTGGAGCAGACCAGCACCGGGTCACGCAACAACAACGACGGCAACAAGCGCGTGAAAAATGTGTGCACTTTCGGCGAGCGTACAAATACAATCGCGCGGCATCAGCAAATCGCCCCATACTGCGAACGCGATTGTGCGGCTTCTCCTTAACCCCGCCAACACAGGAGGCTCCATTGCTGAGCACCAACGCCAGAAGGGGAAAGGAAGCGCAAGACACAACAAAAACGAGGAGTTAATCCTGGACCTTCTCGATCCTTGGAGTACTGTATCGCCTGATACTGCCACTGCCGAATTGAGCCAGCCACCACTCGGCTCCTCCCCATCGAGGACGTGCCCACTTGAGCCTCACTCTCGAATTCATCCATTACTGCTCAAAAGCTTCGCACCGCTGGAACACGCGGCGTTTGTCAAGTTTTGTTCGTATCCAAAACGACAACTGCCCGTGCAGGTCGTTGATCCTCCGTCCCTCCCCTCAGTGTTTATGATTTGTGAAGCTCCAGCATCAGTTTTTGAGTCAGTCTTCAAGAATTCAAGGATGCAGCCAAGTGGTGGGCACCAGCAGCCCGAATACGAATACAGCAATCAGTACAACCATCAGGCTGGAGGTGGCGATCGCCTCCCAGCCCCGAGCATGCGGCCGACGCTCGAGGCCCCGGTCTACTACCAGCAGTCGCAGCTTCAGCAGCAGTTCACGCCACAGCAAACGTACTACCAGCCTAGCCGTACGCCCGTCGCCATCTCCCAGTTCCCCTATGCCGAGTCTCCAATGGAACACAAGCCCATCATGGCCTACCAACAGCCTTCGGACTACCGCATTCAAACCGCATCTGAGGTCCGTGCAGGGCCTCCCATGCCTATAGAGCGTATGTGCGATGTCTGTCAGTATCCCGACCCTGTTCTCGTAGCTCCGAATTGTAATCACCTCTTTCATTCGCGCTGCGTTCACGTATGGCCACTGGACGCTTGTCCGGCCTGCGCAGCGCCACTAGATCAGGTAGCAATCTCGCCAACCATCAACATGATGATGCGACCCGAGCCACGCAGTGGAAAGTGGACTCGTCCTGAAGAGAAGTTCATCGACGGCATCCTTCGCGAGTTCGACCGACAGGCTTTGCCACTGGCACACGGCACGCCAATTCGTTTGGTGCTTGCCAAAATGCTCAACTGTTCGACTATGAGGTTGTCTAAGAAGTTCCAGAAGAATGCACTGGGTAAGCGGACGTTTAGGGTGACAAAGCCCGGCAAGGGCGAGAAGGCGCTGCAATTCGATCAAATGGACCACGCGCGGAGACAGCGCGAACTTTCAAGCTTGGAACAAATCTTCCGACAGGAGCTGGTGGACCAATTCCGACGTGAAAACAATACGGATGAAGGTGCTTTAGTCGAGACACAACATTTACGTCTCGCAGTTCAGCAGTTCTGGGTGAGCAACTTTTTGAAATTCGCGGTGCTAATCGGCCAACCTGTCATGGGACTGGACGTCTCCGATGCCAAGAAACGCAAGCGCGCGATGCAGCTACTGCGTAATGGACAATTCGATGAGCTTCTGTCGTGGAGCCACCATCCGTCTCCAGCGAACACTGCAAGTATTACGCCAATGCCGTCCATTTTGGGATCAACGCCAGCCGACAACACTGTCGTCTCGGCGTCGTGGAGCTCCACCACGCCTTTGTATTCGTCCTCTATGCTGGGGCAGAACCAGCAGGAGACTGGACCGTCTATCCCAGCACTTCTACAGCAGCCCGAGCAGCGGCCCGTGAAGAAGATGCGCACGCCCGAGGCGAACGTGGAAGTAAACCGCTTCGGTCTCCAGCCTCCTCCAATGGACCAATCTCAGTACCCACAATTTGGTCGCCTCTCTCCTCCAGCGTCATCAACCTCCGCTTTTGATTACAGCCAGCAGCAGCAGCAGTACTCGTCTGAGCCGTATTTACGTCCATCAAGTTTGTCGCCATATTCCGACGTCAAGTCGGACAAGTCAGGAATGGGATACGCTAATGTACTGCAACATCAGCAACAGCAACAGCAAATGATCCCAGGCATTGTCGCCCATGAGGGCGCTGTCCATGAGCAAAGGGGTGGATTTACGCCAGCAGCCTTTCCACGAGCCGGTGAGTCTTATCAAACCAGTGGCACGAATCAGGCAGCTCCGTGGGACGATCTCTTGGAGAACATGTCTTCCGAGGCAAACGCTGGCACACAGCCCGCACCCACCAGCCAAGCTCAGAGCGGCGATTCCAACATGCAGTCCTGGCCCAACATGCACATGATGTGAAGAAGATTTCCGTCCCTGTCCAAAAGATGTCCAAGACATGTTTGTGTTAGTGAACGACGCGAAAGAAAGCGTCGATAGTTGTGCAAAAGTCTCGTATTTGTAGCGTGTTGAAACCCACAATTGCGGTCATTAAATAAAATGGAAATGCAATCACCCTACCACTTCCGATCCTCCATTGTTCTCCGTTCGTCATCCAAGTCCACCTCCGAAATTTCCTACATCCTGCACCTGACTCACCGAAGGCAACAAAATTGACAAAACGAAAAACTCGTACCAATAATCGGGTACACTTCATTTTCACCGCACAACACACTCAACAAATTGGTCATGCTTCGCCGTGGAGCAGCTCCGCTTTTGCGGGGGCGCTCGACGCGCTCCATGTCGTTACTGGGCTCAATCTTCGGCATTGGTGAGTTCGAGGGTGCGCGTAACACGTCGCTGAGCCGCAGCACGAGCAAGCAGCAGGCCTACGACCTGGCGCTGCTAGATGTACGTGTTGATACAGTTGTGATATTTCTAAAATGTTTCTAACTGAGAGGTAGTATGTGAGCATGAACTCGCACCCCAAGTTCATGCTGCAGCAGGTGCTGGAAGACGATGCGCCATTTCTTATGGGCCACGTGCTCGTGGGCGCCAGTCAGTGCCTCGCGCCGCTCATGCACCAGGACGCAGTTGACGCAGCGACCAGACTCGAAATGGCCACGAAAATTGCCAAACAAGGTGAAGATAAGTAATGACGATTTTTAGAAATGCTCCAATAGGACTGACAGTGAATTGCAATTGCAGGAGAATCGACGGTGAGCGAGAAGATGCACGTGCAGGCGCTGGACGCGATGGTACACGGTCGCCATCATGAGGCTGCTGCGGTGTACGAGACCATCTTGCTTCATGACCAGACAGATCTGCTGGCTTTACGCTGTTGCTATGATATTTACCTTTTCCTTGGGTGAGTGGGCTTTGATGGTAATGTTGAGTTTGATTATTGACGTGGAAAATATTGCCTGTATTCTTTGCAGCGACTACAAAAACATGCTGGCGACGGTGACACGTCGACTGCCGTCTTGGTCACCGAATGACACTGGGTACAGCCTCTTGCTGGGTATGCAAGCGTACGGAATGCAGGCTGCTGGAAGGCTGGATGCTGCGGAGGGTCTGGCGGAGAAGACGTTATCCATGAACGGAAATGATCGCTGGGCGTGTAAGTGGAGAATAGTGATGACTGCTGATGATGTTGGGGTTGTGCTAACGATATTTGGTATTGTACTATGTCGTAGTGCACACCATGCTACACGTCCTAGAAGCACGAGGCAACGCTAATCACGGAGCGAGTTACGCTAACCAATACAAGGCAGGCTTCGACAATGGTGGACCACTGGAGCGACATCTGTATTTTCAATGGGCGCTGTACATGCTGGATTTGGGTCACTATGATCGCATCAACAAGATGCTGGAGGTCAATATTCTCCCGTACCAGCCCGACGGCGCTCCTCACGCAGTACCCACGCTCTGCGATGCCAGTCAGCTCTACTGGAGGCTGCGGTTTGCAGGCCAGGATACGACTGAATTAGGCAACCAGCTCCTCGAAAATTGGACCGCTGTGTTGCCAACTTCAGACTCAGAGGCAAATGAAGTGTCGAAAGTGCGCCTTCACCCTCTTGCAAGAGTCCTTCGATACGTAAGCAGTCGAGGTTATGTGGATTCAGACATTGACTTAACGTTTACCTCTGCATGAACAGAGTATCCTGGCGTGCGTATCATCAGGCACTACGCCTCCGATTGAGCCGCTAACTGCAGAGGCTGCCGTTGACACCAATCGTTTTGAGACTCAATTTGGTAGTACTCCATTCCAGTTCAGCTATCCTCCCATTCCAGGTGAATATCGTGATTCTCTTAATCCAGTGAACCGAAACTTCACAATGAATGCTCACAACTATTGGTAATTGTAGGTGAACTGGAAGAGGTATACAAAAGCGTCTGCCGCGGATTTCAGGCGTTTGCAGAGGTTCGTACTAGTGTTTTCTTTTATTTAGTACCATTTGATGCCAAGGTTTTGCCCGTATAGGCGCGATTTAAAGATGCAACCGAAGCGCTGTTGCCGGTGCGCGGAAAGCTTGGACTTCTTGGCGGAACTGACGTAGACCAAGACGTGGTAGAGCAACTTCTCATCGAGTGGTACGGCCACTTGTGTCTTGACTGGTGGACAATGATCTCTAACTTGTAATGTCTACAGTGCTAGCAAGTGTGATGACCTGCGGCTCGCAAAGCTTCTTCTTAATGAACGGTACAGACACGAAGCTCCATTCATACTGGCGTGTACCATAGTCCTAACTTTACGTTGTTTGCTTATTCCACAGGCTAAGTGCAAGACCGCAGAGTGCTCAATGCTGGAACACCTTTTCACGCGTGTCAGCAGCGATGGGAGACTCGTCCGCCGTGCGTGACGCACAGGGTATGAGCTACGTGCTGGGACTTGGCCAGGGCGGCAACCAGACCTACTAGCCGGTGGCCCATCGTAGCCAATCTTCCAAGTTTTGACAATCCGGACAAGGAGTGTCTTTTACATACAACACCTCGTTCAACCATAGACTGCATATTTAAATAATACTACGACCGAATCGCACAGCAACTGCAACATGCCATGTAACCATTGTACTCATACGTACATTTACTGATGTACCTAATCATCGGTACATGGGTACATTCGACACCGTTTCTATCTCTTTCACAAAAACCGCGGGAAAAATATGGCGTCCAAGCGAGTTTTGCGCGCGTGCAAGTTGCAGGGCCTGTCACTCCACGCCGACGCACTGCGACGCCTCACCGATGAGCTTACCAAGTGCGTATGCATCTAACAATGTTGCTTGTCGAGTTTGACCATCCAAACACTAGTAGCGGCTCGAAACGATCAATTTGAAGTCGATCTCTGCGGTAATCCGATCCCTCCGACTAACGCTCATCAATTTCTCTTCTGCTTTTAGTGAGGCGTCACCACAGCTAGAAGATGTCATCTACGCCATTAAGAATAATATCGACCGTAGCAAGAGTACGTAAACGCTTTGGAACACTTTCAAAACTACCTAAAACGACTAAAATCAATTCTGTTTGAACTGTTCAGTGACGTCATCGGTGGTGACGCTAGAGGCTTTGGAGAGCGCCCTGGACACGCTGTTGGCAGTCTCTGCTGAGAATGACTACGAACAAATTCAAGTATTTGGTGCCTTCGACACTCCCAGACTGCACTTCAACACGCACAACAACTCGTACGAGCTGAGAGCAGACGCCCACCGCCGACTCCACGCTGGACCAGAGTCGAGAATTCAGCTACTGAGGAACAGATTCATGTCTGTAGATCTCCGTGTCAAGCGGAATCGACTGTTTGCACCGCCATCAGCTGCAGTGGCGAACACAACGGAGTACATGGAGGTAGGGGGGCTGAAATTACTGGTCTGGATGCAGAACTCTTTGTTGATTCGAGTATTGTGCCATACAGTTATCGCGTATTGAATCGCTGCTGGGTGTGAGTGGAGTGCGTCGTGTGATTGGCATGTTGGGCCAGGATGAGCGTAAAAGATTCTACTTGGAAGACTTTACTTCGCGGATTATCATCGACCTGACCAATGCAGCGTACACGGACGGCCTCTTTACGATCAATTGTATGGTGCTGGTGGAAGGTGAAGTTATCGATGATGTGCTTCATGTTCAGGTAAGGATTGTAGCATTAGTACAGTCATGGCTTCGCAATTAATTATGTTGCTGTACAGTCGATGGGTTTCCCACCTCCAGAGACCAAAGAAGCGTCTTTGGAAGTCTTGGGAGGAATTGATCCACTGGGTGTGGAGGTGTCAGCTCAACAGCGGGAGCAGATTCGAGAATTGGAAGCGAGCGATCACCACGCTACGTTCATTGTGCTGTCGGACGTTCATCTGGACGATCCTCAGGTTATGAGCAAGCTGGATGAGCTTTTCCAGGGTCTGGAGAGTGTTCAGCCCACGCTTTTCATCCTTATGGGCGACTTCATGTCCACGTCTATCGGTGGAGGTGCAGGATCCAACTCGTTGCAAGATCTGCGTGAGTACTTAGAGGAGCTCGGAAACCTCATTCTGAAATATCCTGGCATCGCTGAAAACTCGCGGTTCATTCTGGTACCCGGACCGAATGATCCGGGCTCGTCAAGCGCATTCCCACGCCACCCAGTGAGTAGCACAAGTTTTGATTTAGCGTAGTATCATTACTAAGTGTTTGTTGTGGACAGCTTCCTGATCTGTGCACTCGCGAACTCATCCGCAAAGGCCCGAACGTCACCTGCAGCACTAATCCGTGCCGGATCCGGTATTACACTCAAGATATCGTGATCTTCCGTGATGACCTGCAGCAAAAGATGCAACGACATGCTATCCTGCCACCGATGCCCAGTGAACAAGAAGAAGCGGAGATGGGTGAAGATGGAGAAGCTGTCCAGTCGGTTTCTCAAAAGGATATCTCCAAGCATGTACGGTGTAATGCTTTGTCATTCATGTGGTCGTTGATGGTGTTGACTTGATGTTCGCCTTTTTTTCAGTTGGCGAAGACGCTCATCGACCAAGCGCACTTATGTCCACTGCCGCTCATGGCGAATCCGATCAATTGGGACTTTGACTCGTCGCTCCAGCTCTTCCCAGCACCGGACGTGCTGATCTTGGGTGATTCGACAGAGCAATACCAACTTGGGTATTCTTCCGTTGGTGTCTTCCACCCTGGTCCATTCCACGCCGACTACTCGTTCGTGTTCTACCGTCCTAGCACCAACACCACGGAGTTCAGTCGCGTCGAATAAGTTCGTCAAGAATAAGACACTCCTGTAGAGCACGATGAATGCAAATACTACTCTTGATAGACTTTAGAGGACGTTGGGGGACACTTTGTCAGACTAGTCAGAATTACACGATATTTTAGCATCCTCTGTGACATGTTTCATTTACAAATACGAAGTACAGTTTGTGTTTACCCACGTTTGGCCCAATATTTACGCTTAGGGGTTAGGAAAATTACCATTACTCTCGTTCATCGACGTCACAGCGCTATTGGAGACCTGGCCCACTACTCATTCAGAGCAGGATGAGGCGCCGCCACCACCGGCAGTTCGGACTGCCGAACGCCAACCAGATCCTGCTGTGCATGGCTGTCTGCACTTCACTCTTCTTTGCGTTGTTGCGGCGCCATTGGCTGCAGTTTGGAGAAGACCCGGACGTTCATGCGTCGCTACAGAATGTCTACGTTGTGGGCGAGGGGTCCACCGACTCGAAGTCGTGGAATCAATTCTGCGCTGACGACTCGTTCAAGATGAATGTGTAGGGAGCTATGCACTGTTATTATTGATTTTTGGTCGAGTTGGCCCAGAGTGCTGACAATTTTGTATATGCTTCGTGGTTTTTTGTAGTCCTGGGACGAATCTGACCACGACAGTCGTGGATATGCAGGACGGAGCAGTGCTGTGCCACCGCCATAGTGGGGAGCTGATACCTACGTTGATGATTTGGATATTATCGGTAGCACTCGGTTGCGCTCTTCTGGGTACGCTGTTTGCAGTGTATCTGCAGCTCGGTAACCCGACGAGAGAGATGATCTTTTGGATCGGGATGATGCCTGGAATTTTACTGTTCGTCACTGGTACGGACGTATTGTAGCTGACGTCGTGCCATGCGAGCAATATGCTAACAGAGTGAAATGTGGTTATTTGATGTAGGGATATTGTGCTCGGCGTCATTGCTTTTGTGGCAGAGGTTTTATCTTCGCTTCGACAATGGGGACTGCTTTACCATCACAGTTGCTGCTACTGTTATTGCGTTTGCAGTGGCGATCTCAATGGTCATACGATGGCGTTGGGTACGTTCGTGGAAGAAGTTTAGGTCCTGTTGTTACTATTGTGCTTATCTCTTTTTATTTTGCTGCGTTCTACTCTACAGCCAGGAATCTGTGCTGTGCCGAACGAGCAGCAAGCTTTAGGCTCGCGTTCTTACGGTGATCATCTACCACGTCGCCGTGGTCGTCGACACGGCTCTGCAGCAACCGCTGCTACTATAACAACTACACCGGCACATGATCTCGAGGCTGCTGCAGTCCCACTGAATCGCTGAGTTGTGGTGGCTAGACAGAATATTTATCAGATCAAATGGACGTACAATTATCCCGTGCATGCTTCCTATAAGACATCGGGTAATAGTCTAAGCTCAGCAGAGCTGTGTAGATTCAGCTTAGTCGCTTTCGTCACCGCTGTCCGCCTTCAGCTTGCTCAACACACGACGAGTGTACTCGCCAATGATCTTGGCGTCGGCAGCGCCACTACGCAGGTATTCCGCTTGTGTTTCAGGACGCGAGTGCACCTCAAGCAAGTACAACAGTGTCCGTTCAGCAGGCAGCTTCACAGCCATGTTGTTGCTCTTGATAAGCTGGAAGACAGCAGGCACAAGAGCAGTCAAATGCTCACGCGTTTGCTCCGGTGAACGCTTCGCGGTCAGCTTCACCACACGCAGCGCACCACGAATCACGTCCTTATTCTTGTGCGTCACACCCTCCACCAAGACCGGCACCAAAGCGGCAACATCCTCCACGTGTGCCTGGCGCTTCACCAGCGCGCCAATAGCATTGAGCGCGTTGTTACGCACAGCTGTCTGTTCATCCAGCGCCAACGCAACAAGAGTAGTGGTCAGCGGGGCTGCGACCTCTGCACTCAGCAAAGCCGGATGCTTGTGCAGCACCAGCGCTGTGAACACGGCAGCACTTTGGCGACGCTGCCACGGCTGAGCCTGCAGATCGTCTGCAGATATGTTAGCCAAACTGTAGTCGAGTAACTGCTTCTGTGCCGTCTCCAAGTCGCCATTGTTCGCGGTAGAAGCCACACAAGAAGCCAGGCACTTGCTAGCACCGTCGCGAAGAGCATCTTCACTTGACTCGAGCATCTCCTCGAGCGCACACTCCAGAGTACTGCGACCAGCAGCCGACAGCTTGTCACCCACACGATCCACGACAGAAGCAACAGCCTCGAGGTTGGCCTCACGCACACCACCGGTCGTGGTGCGCAAGCGCTCCGTAAGCTCCGCAAGAAGAGGCTCCACACGCGGGCTCAACGTGACAAGCAGACTCAATGCCGACGCACCACGAGCACGCACGTCCACAGCAGTGTCGTTCAGAGCCTTGACGAATGTGGTCTGCAACTGAGGCAAGAACGGCTTCAGAGCCACCCCACCCTTCGTCAGAATGATCTCCAGAGTCTGCAGGATAGCAGCCTTCACGTGACCGGGGAAACGGTCACCAGCGATACGAATAAGCGGACCCGTGAGCTTGATCAGGTACGGACGAAGAGCAGGTGCGCTACTGAGCTCCACAAGTTCACCGAGACCAGCAGCCGCGCTCTGACGCAACTCCGGCGATCCATTCATCAAAGCCCACTGGTAGCTAGGCAAGAACGGCTCTAGACCCTTCGGAATGCAGAGACCCGGCAGCAAGTACTCGCCATCGCCCACTCCACCCTTGCGGTGACGGGCATCGCTGACCATCGAGTTGATAGACTGGCGGATGAAGTCCAAGTGCTGCGCGAACTGCTCCGGTTTAATAGTCGCATTCATACCCTTGAGCGCTGCAGATGCTGCACGAACCACTGCATCGTTTTGGTCGTTTAAGTGCAGCACAATCTGCTTAAGGTACAGCGGAGCCTGGTCGTCGTACGGTACAGTCGCGTGCGAGCAGAACTCGCCCACAAGCTCAAAGGCCAAAGCACGGTCGAGCACGTTCTCGCTTTCGCAGTATTTGCACAGCTCGATGGCCAACCAGTGAATGCCTGGTGCTTCCACTCCGAGCACCACATCACGCAATGATCGTTTGATTTCTTCTGAAAGTTCAGTCTTTGAAGCATCCGAGCTGTCATCTTCCAGCAGTTCAACATACTGCGCGAAGAACGTAGCGAAGATTTTTTCCACTTGGAAGTGGATCACGGCACCCGTTGCTTGAGCCACACGAGACACCGCACGTGCTGCTGATGCAGTCACAGGCATAACCAGTAGACGTGGGATCAGGTACGGGAGCACTTCACGAGACTTGACACGAAGAATCTCCTGTAGTCCAAGAAGAGCTCGCTCCTGCTCCTCAGCCGACGGAGAAGAGTGGATACGCTCCAACACCATCGGTACAGTCTCATCAATAGCACGGTAGCCAATGCCCTTGTGCAGCACGTCGAAGGCCTGAGCAGCAGAGGCACGAACCTCGGGTAGCTCATCGCAGACACCGTCCAAAACAGCATCAACGAGCGTGTCCACGTAGTCCTCGATCTGTTTCTTCGTACAGCAATCGATAACTTCAGCCAGACCGATGCAAGCACCCTGTCGACGACCAGTAGGAAGTGACGGCGACAAACCAGCACGAAGAATAGGCACCACCTCGGGTAATACATGCTCGCCCAACTTGCGCACAATCTCACCAAGGGTACGACCAGCCATTGTCTGCTTCTCCATGTTATCACCCGACAGTGCTGACACGATGGCGTTCATCAGAGCCTCCAGAATCTGGCGCAACGTCTTGGGCGTGTTAGCGACCACACTCTTCCAGACCTGCAGAGCGCTCTGGCGCACAACAGCAGAAGTGTCCGAACGGATCATGTACAGTGACGCCAAGATAGCATTGCGACGCTGAATACCCAGCAACTTGATGATGGCACGGTCGCCTGCAGCGCTTCCCGAAGTCTCTTCGTCATCGTCGTTGTCACCGCTAACAACAGCAACCACACGCGTGCCACTGATACGGTACATGAGATCACCCAACAGCATGACCGAACTCTGGCGGATACGCCAGCTATCATCGAACAGACCAGCCTCCAGACTCGGAAGCAGATCGCGCGTGTGCGACAGTGCGTGTGCATTCACCACGACGTGACCGGAGTGCATGGCAACATCGCGCACCGACTCGGCTTCGTCGCTGAGTCCCGCCACCACAATAGGCAGCGCTTCGCGAAGGAACATGGAGAACTGCTTGCCAAGAGCAGGAGGCAGGAAAGCCATGACCCACAGCACACCTTCACGCACCGAGTACTTCGGGTGACGAGCCAACGGCAGGATATCTTCACGCATGACGCGCTCCACACGTTCAATACCGAGGGCAACCACCACTTCACACAGACCTTGAGCAGCACCCGAACGTTCAACGGGGCCAACCTCGTCGTCCTTCATTGCCTCGAGGAGCCACGTCAGCATATCAGCGAAGTGACGCTCACCAAGTCCCTTGACCAGCTTGCCCAGAGCCTTAGCAGCCACTGCACGCACCTCAGGGATAGGATCCATCAGCTGAGTCTTAAGACTGGGCAGAACCGTCTCCATGTACGGCACCAGGTCCTTCGCGTCGTTGATCATGGAACACATACTGCCCACAATAAGAGCAGCCTTCTTCTTGGCATCACCAGCACGGTCCTTCAGGCCACGAGTGATGATAGGCATCACAAGAGCCAGCGACGGCGCGTCGATCGAGTGCTGGAAAGATGTAGACTGCAGCTGCTGAAGAGCCTCGGCCGTGTGTCGGTTAGGGTCCTCAAGGGCGTCCAGAAGCACCTTGGAGATGGTGGCAATTTCAGGGTTGCGAACCACAGAACCCACGTCACGAAGGGCACTCTTACCAGCCTCGCGGACCTTCGGGTGCGAGTCAGTCAGAGCTGCCATGAGCTTTGGAACCACCTGAGGCAGACATGAGCCTAGCTGTCGCGGGGCACAATAAGCCATCGAGCCCAAGATCTGAATACCGGACTGTTTCGTACGCCAGGCGCTTTCTTCCAGCGCTCCCAGCAGCGACGGAAGCACCAGCTTGACACCGTGCGCTGACAAGTTCGACATGATTCCCTTGGCAGTGTGGCTGGCAGCCTCACGCACTTGCGGGCTAGCGTCAGCCGAGCACTTGAGCATCACGGGCAGGATCACAATGATGTAAGGCTCGAACAGAAGTCCGAGACGCTGGCTCAAGCACTCGAACACAAGCATGGCACCTTGACGGGCATTGGCGCCACCAGTCTTCATCGATTCCTCAAGACGCGGAATGATGTTGTGGATCTTCAAAGCAGAGATACCAAGTCCCTTGACCACAGCCGAAACACCGTAAGCTGCGCCCATACGTTCACCGAAAGTTTCGCCTTCAGTCACGCGCTTCAGCAGATCGTCCAAGATGCCTGTGGTGCGGTCCTTGACTGCACTCATAAGCGGCGACAAGCACATAGCGACCGAACGCTGAACAGACTCAGACGGAATGTCAAGTGCTTCGATAAGCGAATCCACAATGGAGGAGACCTTCGGATCCGTCGGAGCCATGTGCTTAGCCAAAGAACCCAAGCAAACCACGACACCTTCACGCTGGTGATCGTAGATAGACAGCGCTTGCTTGCTCTGCTGGAGCATCTCCTCTTCCTGCGCAGCGAGGTGGGTTCCAACCTTAGCCTTCTTTCCGCCGCTGGTCTTAACTGCAGGAGCCGCTGGCGGAGCCGTGGTCTCGAGGAAACGTTCGAACATCTCCAGCAGCGGCGCCGTATTCACGCCACCACCTAGCGAAGCCACAGCCTGCACACCAGTTTTGCGCATCTGTGCACGCACCTTCGAGTTCGGATCTCCCAGACCGTGCTCCATAACGAACGTCAGCAACGCCATGGTGTTTGCGCTGGACATCGCCTCGGGGCCAGCAACTTCCGCAGCCTTTTCCAAGCACAGAGCGACACCAAGACGAGGACACATAGTTCGAACATCCTCGTCCAGTTCTGCTGCTTGCGCACCAGGGCGACGAACAGTAGGAATGCCAAATTCATCCTTGCGCTCAATCGGCTTCGGCTGGCTGCTCAAGAACTGCGTCTTAAGGTTATTCAGCAGTGGCGTCACCGACTTGGGGAACTGACGCATGCCATCAGCAAGAGCAAGAGATGCGCTTTCACGCGCACTAGCGTGGGTGTGGTTCAGCAGCACGAGCAGCGGGCCAGCGTATAGCGCCGTGACGGCAGCGCCAGTGGCATCCCAGATCTGATTAGCCAGAGTACGGTTCTTTTCGTCCGAGTCAAAGCGGCAGCAGTACAACCGGCTAATCAAGAGTGAGCTGGGCTTAGCGTTCCGGAACTCCTCACCGCCTTCGTCACTCTGCACGACGTTGAGTAGCGCAGTCAGAACTTCTCCACGTGCACTCGCCTCCTCAGAGAGTAAACCATCATCGCCAAGCAAAGGGGCCCATTCAGCCGCAGTCAATTCGGGTCCCAAGCACAGAGAAGTCAGCAACTTACCCGGAGCCAAATCCGGGTTAGAAATAGGCAGCGCGCTGCCCGTTGCCTGCTGGGACAACAACAACAGCGTAAGCTGCAGCATATCACGTCGTAGCAGACGCTGCGCAGCCACATCGCCTACTTCTTCCTCTTCCTCATCCGGGATCATGCGAGCATGAACAGCAAAGAGAGGCAGAGACCAGCGACGCAGGTCCGGTGCAAAGCGAAGCAGATCACGCAACACAGGGAAGAGCAAATGCAGAGTCGGCGGAGGGATCAAGTTGCAGGGAGCATCCGCGTCAAAGTCCGCCTCGGTTTCGAACTGGAAGCCGAATACGTACTCCATCAGCTCTGCAAGAAGACGTAAGAACAGTCCCTCCACTTCAGCAATGTGGGCAGCCTTGTCCTTGTCAGACGTCAGCTGATCCAACTCCAAAGCGATGCGCAGGGCACTTGCTACGTCTTGATAGCTCGAGCGAAGTAGCTCCGGGTTAATGGCCTTAGCCAACGCCATCAGTGCATTGGAGGCTTCAGACTCGAAAAGGGGGCATGTGAAGAGCACGCGCGCAGAGCGAAGCAGGTACGGCAGTGCTGGATGCAGCTCATCCGGACGAGTTAATGCCAACATGTCAATGGCTTCAAACACGGCAGACACGACGCGGTGAGTCTCCTGGACTTTGCGTCGTACTTCCTGTTGCTGCTCCAATTGAGCCTTCTGTTCAGGCGTGTACACCTTCTTCTGAGCTCCCTCCTCGGCACGTTTCTTGCGTTCAAGTTCCTCGCGCAGCTCCTGTTCCCACTGGTCGTCTTCATTTCCGCGACGGCCACCGCGCTTGTTGCGGCTAGTGGTTTCCCCCTCCTCGCCTTCCTTCTTGGGTTCGTACAATTCATCAAACGGCGTCTGGCAGATAGCAACATCCTCTTCGCTGAGAGCATCGATTTGTTCATCGTCTAGACGTTTAGCCAGTAGGTCCTCGATTATGTCGTGCAACGCAAGATCCTCGCCTTCACCGTTACCAGCGAAGTCGAGCAGAGTTGCCAGAGCACGCTGAGCAGCCAGGCGCTGCAGAGCACTCGCAGAGTAGAGCTTGCCCGTAGAAGCATTGGCCAGTAACTCAACGACTGCTGTCTTAACTTCCTCATGCTCCTCGATGAAGTTGTCCACCAGACTGGCATCACTGGGAGGCTCGTCGTCATCGTCATCCTCACTCTTGGCAGTATCAGTACTAGGAGACAAGAAACGCCGACGAATGGACTGCCACTCGCGCGAAAACGCCTCTGCCTTCTTGCCCGCAACCAGGAATGGGTTGTGCGCAAGGAAAAGCACCCATGGGAATACTTGAACCTTTGTGTCGTCTGCTTTACTGATTGCAGCAGGAACAAGTACGCGCAGCGCACGACGAAGCACGCCTGCAGGCGGAAGGCTGGCCTCCTCTTGACCAGAAAGAGCATCAATCTTCTTCTCGAACGCAGCTACAAGGCCAGCGCAGTGCTCCAGCGATGACTGGTACATCGTCTCCACAGCACGCTCAGCACTCTGGCGCACAGTGAGGCTTGACGAGCACAGCAGTTCCACTAACAGAGAGTAAGCTTCGCTAGCATCCGATTGCTGCGATGCCAAGACCCACACGAGAGCACGAGAAAGTGCAGCAAGAGCCGAAATCTCTGGAGACTCCAGTGCAGCGGCCTGTCGAGACGTGCTCGTCACAGTGCTCAACAATGATCGAACGCTGTGTCCAACGAAGGACGTAGAGCTCAGCAGAAGGTCAGCAACACCTTCTTGAGCCATGCAAGCGTCCATTTCGCTACTGGCAGACGCAATTACACCAGCGACTGCAACAGCCAGCACACCATCGAGATGCGCCACATTGGGCTTCTTGTTCGAGTCCTTAATCACAGCAACAACTTCATCGGCAAATGGGACCACAGCAGTGGCACTAGAGCGGCAGAGTACATCCAATGCGCGGAGATATCCAGCTACGACAGGCTCAGGCTTGTTCTTGAACCCTGTCTTCAAAGCAGTCACTGTGGCAGCGTCAAGCTCGTCCGTTCCGGCAAGCGCAAGCCACTTGCCGAGAGTCAGGAGTCCAAGGTGGCGCGTTTGTTCATGTGCCTCCTTGCCCACAGCCTTGAGTAGAGACGCAATAGCAACAGACGCAATTTCCTGCACCTCCGAAGCATCCAACTGCACCATCGCGGCATCGGCAGCGTCATTCAGTACAGCGAAAGCGACTTCACGCTGGTAGAACTGGGCGAGGATGCCGTGTTTGCCGTCCAACAAGGTGCCCATAACAGCCACAAACTCCTTCATGTGTTCACTCTGACGGAACGAGCGAGTCAGGGCCCCGGCCAACGCAACTGCAAGGGCGCGAACATCGTCCTTCGGCGCTCGTAGTTTGGAGATCAGCACAGATTGGAAGAAGTCACTCACGTATCTTCCAAAGTCCAGCGGTGTGGCGTGTACGAACGCACCCACAGCTTCAATGACCGTGTCGGGCGCCTTCTTGAGCATCTTAGCCATAGGCGGCATGATAATCTCCTCGAATTGTCCGTAGCTCAAGTTTTTAAACCTTGCATCGCTCTTTTCCAGCGGCGCGAACGTGCGTTTCTTGCTCTCAAAAGCCCAGACGACGTACTTGTTCCACATTAGTTCCTGCGTCTCCTTGTTCAGTAGATCACTCAGGCTCAGTACGAACCACAGCTGATAGTGCTGTTCCTCAGGTTCAGCTGAGGTGATCACGTCCACATAGCTATGCAGTAGCGTCTGGCCGTGCTTCTTGAGCAGTTTGAGCGGTGCCTTGCGTGCCTGTTTCTGGCTGCGTTCGCTGTCTCCAATAGTGGCCTCCAACAGGCAACTCTGTGCCGCTAGCAGCTCATTGAGCCACGCGGCGTCCGGCTTGGAGTCAGCGATTAGCGCCGCGTCCAGCACAACACACGAGAGCCGCAACGCAATGACACGCGCACTAGCGAAGGAAGCCACAAGCGCCGGAGCCTTGGCTCGCAATACGTGGCTGAAAATTTCCGGGAATTTCGGCAGTTCTTTGCAGGCCTCGGCCAGCAACGCACGCAAATGCTGTTCGGAGCTGCGGTACTGACAGCGGTAAGTCTCAGCCAGAATTTGGCTCGCCAAGCGCTTCAGTGGCAGCTCACTGGCCTTGCATTTGGTGACGACTTCGTGCTGGTAGGACTGGATGAAGACCAGGTGGGAAGGACGCAGCACGGCTGCGTCCAGCAGCGACCGCAGCACGTCCTCTTGCTCCGCCATGATGTCGTTGGGGGAGGCAATGCGGGCACCAGTGCTTTGTGGGTTGGATACCCCAGTCTGTGGTGCTTGATGGTAGAATTGTACATATTGACTAGTGGTACATAAATTTGACTAATGGAACAAATAGAGGTATTTTGTGTATTGCAGCCACCGACTATTTCAATCGGAGGGAGCAACCGCCCAGTGGCTCATTTATCATGGCAGACGATGACGCGGGCGGCTTCGCAGCCTTCATGGCCACTGTAGGCGGTGATAAGCCCAAGCAGACGGAGGATAAGCCCAAGGACGAGTACCACTATGAGGAGGAGCAGGAGAAGGAGGCGATGATGAAGAATTATCACCATCCAATGAAGCAATGGTTCCGTCAGCGGCCGCAGCTCGAGGTGCTACGCGCGTGTTAACAATTGCTAAGGATTTATAGCTGCTAACTGGATTCTGGTTTTTTAATGACTATGGCAGGCCAAATACGGCGCGTTTCCGCTCTTCTGGCAGGAACTCAAGACGTGGGAGCCGTACCGAGAGGTGCTTAAGGCTTACATCAAGTTCACAGAGCATGGGGATGACGTTGAGCCCGCAGAGAAAAAGGAGAATACACGTGATAAGGATAAGCAGAAGGAAGACGCTGCAACGACCAAACCAGCTGAAGAGCAACCGAAGAAACGCCGTAAGAGTCGGTGGGGAGACCCAGTGGAGTCTGGAGCGGACGGAAATGGCGAAAAGAAGCGGAAAAAGTCGCGATGGGCACCGACATCCAGTGGCGCCTCAGCGATGACTGGACTGCTCAACCAAAAGCAGCAGCAGTCGGTTATGCTCCGTGCGCAACTGGAAAACATCAACCAGAAATTGAAGACGGTGGTAATGGACGCAGCGATGATCGAGAAGGATCCGAATCGATCACCGTCGCCTCCTCCGCAGTATGACTCAAACGGAAAGCGTACCAACACACGCGAAGTTCGTATGAAGGCCGCGCTGGAGAAACGTCGGCGCGAGACGATTGAGGAGCTCGTGAAGATCAATCCGCTCTTCCGACCGCCTGCGGACTACGCACGTCAGAAACTGCATCGAAAGATTTACATTCCAATTCGCGATTTCCCATCCTATAACTTCATCGGTTTGATCATCGGTCCGCGTGGCAACACGCAGAAGCGCATGGAACGAGAAACGAACTGCAAGATCGCCATCCGTGGCAAGGGATCCGTCAAGGAAGGCAGCAAAGGCAAGAAGATGAATGCCGATGAGAACGATGATCTGCACGTGCTTATCACAGGTGACCGCGAAGAAGACCTCGATAAGGCAGCCAAGGAAGTACAGAGTCTGCTGGTGCCGGTGGATGATACGAGGAATGCTCACAAGCAGAAGCAACTGCGTGAATTGGCTCTGATCAATGGTACACTCCGAGACGACGACTACTGCCATATTTGTGGCGAAAAGGGACATCGCCAATGGGAATGCCCCAACCGAGACGCTCATCGTACGTGCCACGTATTACTCTTTCTATTTTGTTTTTGATACGATAACTGTGACTTGTTTCCATGCTGCATTTTAGGTACGTTCAAGCCCGTTAACGTCAAGTGTGCCATTTGTGGTGATTCTAGTCACCCGACACGTGATTGTACTCAGAAAAAGAAGTCTGCTGAGGAAAACGCTGCCATCGACAAGGAATATCAGCAATTTATGCAGCAGCTTGGTGAAGCACCTGCCACTTCGACTGCTGCAAACGGAAACGGTCCAGAAGCAGCGACCGCAGGTGCTACAGCGCCATGGTTGCAACCAGCCAAGACTTCGAGTGCGACGGCACAGCCTTGGATGCATCAGTCTGTAGGTGCTCCAGGCACAGCTGGTCCACCTGGAGTGCCAGCACCTCCTGGTACAACTGCATTGGGATCTACTCCGGCTACGGCGTTCCCGCCTCCGGTGGCGCCGCCTGGCGGATATGATTACCAAGGACAGGGCCAAGACTGGGGACAACAAGGATGGAATGGTGGGTACAATTCGTATTACGGATCATGGGATCAGAGTGGTCAGGGCGCTGACTATCAGGGATATGGACAATATGATCCACCTGCGGGTGGTGCTGGTGCTGGTGCACCTGGAACTAACGGGACGGATCAGTATCAGTATCCGCCATACGGTAATCCGCCGCAGTAACGAACTAACTGCTTAGTGCCATCAGCTCTGTGGTCAAGTCGAAGGGAGCACAAGCATCAGGTACGCCTCGCCGTTTGGAAACGTGAGAAGAATCGCAGCCGCGACATCAGCGCAGAGGAACTAACCCCGTAGGAATACACAGGATTCACTTTTGCTTGATCGCTAGTACCTGCGCTTATGTGTATTGTTTGTGTATGTCTGCGAGGAAAACAATAGGTGGTGCGAGTCGCGACAATACAGCGTGGTCTGCTATCAAAGAGTGCGAGTTGAAGAAATGATGCTGTCGAAGAGTACTGTAGCTCTTCTTCCGTACACATAGGAGAATTTGTAGATTTGCTGGGGGCTGAGTTGACCTCGCCTGAAGATCGAATACGACATGTAGCATTACTCTGATTGCCTTGATTAGCATTGATCTGTCTAAACAGTTGTCTTTCTGAGAACACTATCCTGCCGACTCAGCTGCTTGAAGAGCTCCTAATGAAAGTAGCGATAGCCCAAATGTTAGAAAGTGTCTTTAACAATGCTCAATGTCTATCGCAAGTTCGCTGGTGAGACGAAAGCATACTTGTTGACGACTCCGATCGGATACGAAGTAGCGTTCCATGCGCCTCCGAAGGTTGAGCAACGAGGGTTGATCCGTGCAACTGTGTACATTCAGAAGCACGTGGAAAAAGTTTTCCCACATGTCGACTTGCCAATACCGTTTGAATTGCCTGACAATTCCCCAATGCGTTGCACCCTTGGCGTTACGCTTGGGCTTGACTTCCATGTATTCCCCGAAGAGCATGCAGTGCATTGTCCCGCAAAAGGCAAACGTGTCGATCTGGTATGTCCATGGGCGTTGCGTAAGCATCTCGACACATTGAAAGCCTTTGGCGTGGCAACTGCCTCTGAAAACTGTTCCATCCGGGTAGAAACTCAAGTCGATCGATCTTCCGTAGTCAATAAGATAGAGGTCACCAGCCTGGTAAACTTTGTCAAGTTTCGGTTCTTGGCTGATCAATTCCAACTCGGATGAAGGATTCCCAGGTATCATCAACCAGTTGTCCGGTTTGATATCACCGTGGAGAACATTTGCACTGTGAAGAAGCTCAATGCACCGCAGCATCTTGATACCGTAGTAAACAGCTAATACTTCCGGAAATGTAGTACCCCACTGCAAAGGAATAGAGGATCCACAGGGACTTTAGATTCCGCAGAAACACCGTAAATCAAAGCGAGCAATACCTGCTTGTAGCAATTTAGGACGTCGAAGAGTGTTCCAACGTGACCCTTATCCATGATGAGCAAAGCTCCATTCTGCCAAGTAGCAGTAAAGAGTAACATTAGGTTAAATTCGTGAAGGGTGCCACTTAATACGAGCATCTTCATGCACCGAGAACAAATGGAGTTCGGTTAACGTTGGAACAGGAATCTTCTCGTCCGGAATCCCTCTCTCAATCCTCAGTTTTTTCTTGATCTTGTTCGTAATGTAAAACTCCCAAGCTAGATTCTGGCGTTCCTTCTCAATCTGACCAACCAGGCATGTTAGCTACAGCTATAACATCATCTGGAGCGTATACCAGTACCTTAACAGCCTTATTGCGAGTGGAGTTGATAGTCGTATCAACGACCTTCGCTGAAAAGACATACGCAAAGGAGCCCGACCCCAAAACTCCGACCAGCTGGACAGTTAGTGTTGTACTGGCCTTGAAGACAATCGGCTTTGGCAACTTCCGCTTGACTGGGTTAGTACACGGGACCCGCGGCAAAGTTTGTGAATGGAGCTTGACGGCATCAGGTCTCGAGCACAAGTACCAGTCGACGCGTCGATCCAGAATCAAATTTTGCCGGTTTTCAAAAGTGTATGGGTCCAACACGAGTGCTGCCACAGGTACTTTTGTGCTGAGATGAGTGACGCTCTTTGGTGTTGGCTGCGTAATATTTCTTGACGTCAAACGGTTAGTGAAAGCGTCAAGTGTTCATATGCTAGCATTACAAGTTCATTGTCTGATAGGATTGCACGACAAATCAATTTGAAGGTCAACAGCGAGGCAGTAACTATACCTCGACGATCCCTCTCGTGCTAAGTTCTTTGTTGTGCCTTGAATCCAGCGGCTAAGGTATACGCTGTTCGATCAGCATTGTCGAACAATACAGGGTTCTCCTGATATAATAAATCGTTAATGGAAGAGCAGGCACTGGGGCTCTACCTTTCCGTCGAGTCCTTCTCAGCGGCATCCTTTTGAACTCGCATAAGAACGTCTTTGTTCGTTAATCGCACACTGCACACCAGGTCATCTCGGGCACCGAGTGGCTTCCTCTTCTGACTCCAACTCGTCTTTCCAGTCCGAGGCTCTTCTGGAACATCATCACTGAAAACCTGAAATGCCTTCCCTGTTCGAGGTTCTTCGGGTGCGCCATCGCTGAAAATCTGGAAATCCTGCTTCCTTCCTACCAGAGGCTCAGCGGACGCATCATCTTTGAAAACCTGGAACGTTTGCTTTGGGATAGACTCATTTATGTCTTGTCGCTGGGACTGATCCTGCGCATTCAATGCCACGCTATCGACCGAGTCTTCAAATACGCTGAAGTGAAGCTTTCGCTCGACCGGATCACCCTCCTTTGCATCCCACACACTAGGTTTTGGCTGTCGTGGCGGGCTGCAAAACATGCTGTTGATGTCCTCCAATGCGACGCGAGTGTTGATAGTCATGTCTTCTTGATCACCGTTGTGCGTTGATACCGCGGCAGTTTGCGCTGCAGTAGCAAGAGGAGCTGGTTTTCTCTCAGGACTCTCTACTTCACGAGAAGTTGACGATGTTGTGGTCGGCGCTGAAGGGTTGGCTCTGTGAGAAGCTACCGATGCAGTCACTGAAGAAGTAGCAGCCGACAAGGACAAAGTTACGTTGGATGCAGAGTCGACTTCATGAGTCACGTCGTGCAGGGCGCGATGCTCCAGCTCGCGATGTCTATCCACCGCCTGCTGATACGCGCTCGCTCGGATTTCTTCAAAGGAAATTGCGTCGCCCGTTGAGGATGTGATCTGTTCAACGTCATAGCAAGATTTTTCCGATCTGCCTTTCGTTACCTGCTTCTGCGCACGCGCCTTCTTGTCGCTGGCAGTGAAATTCTTGAGTGGTTCCTGCGCAAGCATTTCCTCCTCTGTAGCCACTCCATCCAGTCGCTGTCGAAGCGTTTGAGAACGATGTGTCAGAGGTGTTCGTCGCTTCTGTTCGCTTTCAGACACAGAAAATTCTTCATCCACAAAAACCTGTAAAGTGCTGGCATCCTGTGGTCGACTGTTTCGCCCGGGCGGCGATCGACGGTCAGATTGTCGACCAGCTCCAGCTCCAGATTCTCCACGAGCTGCAAGTGTATTCCACGCACTCGGCGCCATCTCATTCTCCTTGTCCTGCTGTTGCATAGTGCCAAGCTTTTTCCACCCACCGTTACCGTCAAAAGGATCAACAGAGTGTCCAACAGGATCCTCGTAGACAACAAATACCGGTTTGTGCGCGTTCGCTTTCTGGATACGCTGGACCCGAGCAGATGCTCGATGCTGGTGAAGCTGCTGCCGCTGAGCATCGTTTAGTTCCAATGTTCCATAGGACGACAAGCTCTCAAGAGCACGGCGGTGTGTTACCTCATCGATCCCATTAGCTCCCGTCTCCTCGGTCATCCTCAGCCACTGGCGACTCATGCGTCTCTGAAATTCCTTGTACTTTCTTTCCAAAAGGTCCTGCGGCTCCGCGTTCCTACAGCAGCAAGAAAAATGAATAGCTTACTCAATATACGACAGAACTCCAGAATGTAGCCTCAGATGCACGTACTTCTGGCCGGCCTTTAAATAAATCTTGTGTGCTTGTGGGTAGTTGGCCATCGTCTCGAGGACGTAGGCCCATCCGATGTAGAAGAGCGAGACGCGCTCACCGATCTTGTTCTGGTAAAGATACTTGAAAATGTCCTTGGGGTTGGACACCAAGTCCGCCTACAACGACACAAACAACGTTAACATCAGTAAATTTGACGCCATTGAGCATCATCCACACTTCTCACGTATTGGATCCATAATCGGATGTATCGCATGTCGTTCTTGTAGTGCGGGTTATCCTTGAGCTCTCGCGTGCACTTCTCCAGTGCAGTAAACTTCTTGCGCGTATCTTCGGGCATTTTGACCTCCAGCCAGCGTATGTATTCAAGCCACGCGGCGAGCGGATCGTCTCCGTTGTAGGCCTCGACAGCATCCTGCTTGGCCTTGAGTTCGTCCTCGAGTCGCAATTTGGTCTGGAATGAGTCGTGCGCGCGGAGAGCCTTGTTCAGGTCCGCCACGTTGCGGCCGCGCTTGAGCGGCATCACATTCTCCTTGGACGCCTCCCACTCGAAGGCGTCCGCCTTGCGCTTACGGTCCGATAGCGCCGCATCCATCGTCATCGGTGTCGGCTTCTGACTTGAGCGCTGCCTGTCGCGTTCGTCGCGCACTACACTTGGGTTTTGTATGGTGTGCGCTGATCGAGTGCGGACTTCGCGCTCCAGTTCAAAATTTTGAAATCCCGCCAAATTTGATAGTAGGTACCTCACTACAGTGACATATTGAAGTCGCGCTCGAGTGACTACTAATGCCGTGTTCATCGACGTTCCAAGTCATCGAGACGTTCGAGCACAGTGCATGTAAGCCGCAATCGTACTCACCACAGCAATGATCACGCCGTGTTCAACATATCATTGCTACGGCGATGTTCGGATCGTCACGCGAGATACCCGGCTGCGATCGTGTTTATACCGGCTTTCTCGCCGAGTTCCTGGCACGCCGGCATCGAGACTGTAGCCACCTCTAGTGCTACAGCTCTGCTTGAAGTCACTTCCCGTAATCAGCTTGTTGAGAAGAAAAACGGGTGTGGCCAAGTGGATGCTACTACCACAATATGAGCTTACAAAAAGCCGGATGAAAGGAAGGGGTGAAACTTGAAAAATCAATATGAACCAATCGACATTTATTCAATTGAAGCTTGGCGACAGCCATCCCTTGTATTGTGGCAATACTGTGAACACTTCCATGGTGGGCAACAGACGCTGATCATCAACTTCATCCGGCGCCGACGTCAGTGGCTCCACACAATCCAATAGACAGTCAAGGCAGCGTCTCCGACTTCCAGCCAAGCCCTATCAACAGCCATGGTCCTCAACCTGCAAGGAACTTTCACCGCGCTCGTGACGCCCTTCACGGAGGACGGTAGCGCCGTGGACTACGCCAAGCTGCGGGAGCTTGTGGAATGGCAGATCCAGGAGGGCATCAACGGTCTCGTGCCGGTACGTAGTAGTTTGCGCATTCCTGTTGACTGGCTGGACGCTAACGATGCTACCAACTTGCCGCAATAACTGTGATAGATGGGCACGACCGGCGAGTGCCCCACGGTCTCCCACGATGAGCACGACCGCGTGATTTCGGAGGTGGTGTCTACTGTCAATGGCCGCGTGCCTGTGATTGCCGGCACTGGCTCCAACAACACGGCGGAGGCTCTGCGTCTCACGCGTGCGGCTAAGGATGCCGGTGCCGACGCCTGTCTGGTGGTTTGCCCGTACTACAACAAGCCTACGCAGAAGGGTCTGTACGCCCACTTCAAGGCCGTGGCCGAGGTCGGCTTGCCCGTGGTGGTGTACAACATCCCCGGCCGGACCAACGTCAACCTGACGCCGCAGACGATTGCTGAGCTGTCCAAGCTGCCCAACATCGTGGCTATCAAGGAGTCCACGGGCTCGCTGGACCAGGCAATGGAGATCGCTGCTTTGTGCGACATCACCATCCTGTCGGGCGACGACAACCTGACCCTGCCGCTCATGGCCATGGGCGCCAAGGGTGTCATCAGTGTGCTCTCCAATGCTTGTGAGTGGCAATTCTTGTCATAGTTGCGAATTGTGGGGTGCTTACTCATTTTGTTTCTATTGTTGCGTGCAAACAGCCCCCAAGAAGGTGCTGGCCGTTACCGACCCGATGCTCAAGGGTGACTACGCCGCTGCTCGCAAGGCTGCTTTGGAGAACGTACGTTTTGGCTCGAGACCGCTAGAAGTTGACATTGCTATCGTTCGTGATGCTAATATTGTCATTCAATTTGCTACGGACAGATCTTCCTGGTCAAGTCGCTCTTCAGCGAGGCCAACCCGCAGCCCATCAAGAAGGTACTGCAGCTCATGGGCAAGTGCACAGCTACTGTGCGTGCCCCGCTGGTGGAGTGCGAGCCCTCAACCATCGAGAACCTCACCAAGCTGGCCAAGGAGCACAAGCTTATCTAAGGCAAATTGTAAAGCAGACCGTGGTTCTGGCTAATCCAAACGTGCCGTAGCCAACTCTATCTTGTGCCAAAATGTAGAATTGCAAGGGTTAAACACGTGCGTGTTCAAGTCTATTCACTGCTAGGTAAGGAACTGCTATCGAACCAACATAGATTATTAACAAACTTCGGGGTGAGGACTGGAGACGCGATCAAAACCACAAAACTCACTCACTCGTTGACCTCAGAACTGCATCCCTTTCCTAGCACTGGGAAACCAGACGCCACAAAACTACCAATCACTTGGTCTAGTACTTGCTGGCGTTGCTTGATCTGTCACTCGAGGCAACACTGAAGCCACTGATACGCGAGCTCTCGCGGCTGTACGGAGACATGCCTGAGCTGTACGAGTCTGCGCTGGAGCGCGACGCTCGGAAGCCGTACGAGTCCACGGACACCTCGCTCTGTAGTCTCGACTGGTCCATGGCCTCCGAGAAGCCAGTAGCACGAGAATCCTCGGTGACACGGGACTCCTCCGTAGCGCGGTAGTCATCAAAGCGCGACTCAACAGTGGCACGGTCTTCCGTGATATTGTAGTCCTCAGTGAACCGTGACTCAACTGTAGGGCGAGACGACATGGAGAAGCCAATGTCGCGGTTTGAGTCGTGCTCGCTCAAGCCCGTGATGCGTGACGTGTTGTCCTCCGAGAAGCCGCTGACCGTGCTGAATCCTCCGATGCTGCCGAATCCACGGGCCTTCAACTCAGCCTGCTCCATCGAGTCCAGGCGGGAGTCCATGCGAGATGACTCCGAGTCGTTCCAGTCTCCTGGCTGCAGGTACTTGTTCTGTCTGGCCGACACAACCGAGTCACCGAAGTTGGACATTGAGGCTTCGCTCTGGCCACCGGCAATGGATGACAACTCCGACATGTTGCTCATGCGGTAGGCGTCAATCTCCGCCTCGTTCGAGTGTTTGGTCGCCCCGGCGGAAGCAGCAGCAGCGGCACCCGCAGCACCGTAGCTCGCCTTTTCCGAGTACCCATCGGTGTCCAAACTGCTCTTGGGGAGCGAGTTCAATGAGCTGCCATTGCTAGAGTTGAGCTCCGAGCCACGCTCAGCTGAAGCCATGATGGCGACTGAGGATTCCTCACTCATTATGTTGTCAGCAGCCTTGTCGTTGTTTCGAGCTGAGATGTTGGCGACGTATGTGAGGTCGATCTTGCCGCCGTCGTGGCCGTGGAGTCCACTGTCGTCCATGTCGCTAGCCAGAGAGGGCGAGTTCAGGTCGAAGGCTTTGTTAGCGTGCATACGCTGCTCCTTACGACGACGCATCACGAAGGCAAAGGCGACGACACCAACGATACAGCAGCCAACCAGCGCGGCAATTATGATCACTCCGTTATGGCCGAGGAAGTCACCGCTGCCGTTAGAGGTCGAAGCCGACTTGACTGCTCCAGAGGAGCCTGTGTCCTTCTGCTGCGTCGTATCATCGGACGTAGTCGGAGCCGTGGTTGTCTTGGTCGAAGAGTCCGAGACTTGGGCCGATTCGTCCGTGCCCGAGCTCTGCTTTAGTTTGGATTCCTGCTCCGCCGAACTGCCAGAGTCGTTTCCAGAGTTGCTGTCAGGCGCACTCGTCGTGGTGTTGGTGCTGCCAGACGACGAGGCGGAAGAACCTGTGGAAAGCGACGGCGCCTGAGTTAGCGGCGGTGCAGTTGTTACGGGCGGAGCAGTGGTCGACCAGGTGGTCGACTCTGTGCCACTTGAATCAGAAGTTCCTACGCTACCTGTATTGGACGTCGACGAGGACGAGATGGACGAGTCGGCGGACACGATACTGATCTTCTTGAAGACGATGTATTCCTCCGCTGCAAGGTTGAGCGAGGCATCACCGGGCAGAGCGACAATGCCCACAATGATGTAGTCGCCAGCCGTGGAGAGAGTGAACGTGTTGGTCTCAAGGGCCTTGGTGCCGTCAGCGGCGAATGCTCCGGTGCTAGTTCCGTCCGCACCCGTAGGGGTTCCGCCCACGTTCGTGGCGCAGTTGGTTCCGGCTGTGCAGGCGAACAGTGACGACGTGGTCACGGCACCTGGGAGGCCTGTGGTTGCGTCGATGGCGTTCGGGAAGATGGCGTTGGCCAAGCCAGTGTTCGCCTTGGCCGTCCACTTGACGGTGATGGGGTCACTCACGTGAAACTCGGAGGCTGTAAGCGTTAGCGTGACGCCTACGGGGCAGCGACCGACGTTGCTGGCCTCCAACGTGTCGAAAGCGAGCGTACCTACCGCCCCGTTGACGCCCATGCAGTAGGTAGTGGAGCCGTCCTGCGTGAACCCGTTGTCAACGTCGACGGCCTGTGCCGCTCCGAGGAGCGCGAGCGCCGCCGCTGCGAACGCTGAAACGACCTTCATCCTGCTAGTAAGTTTCTCGATGGAAAAGTCTGTCGATCCGGGCTGCTTTCCTGTATATTGAGGCTACCTACTGTTGCCAATTTGCGGGCACTGCTCGACTCCTTCGATCGGGTCGAGACCGTTTCCGCAGACAGCAATGAGTAAAAGGCCGAGCAATCTGGAAATGACTTGCATTCCCGACTCGCGACCTGGTCGGCACAGGAGAGGAGAGTCAGCAGCGCACCGGTCTCTGTAGGCGGCCTCTACTCTACGCCACGAAAAGCGCCCAGCTGGTTCTGCTGCATTTTTGCCCCAACCTCGAAAACTCTGCCGAAAAACTCGTGTAAAGTTTGTGAGTCAAATGGTCCGACGCAGCATGGAGCGCCAAATTCTAGCAAGCTGCGGACACTTTTTGGCATGAGATTTGACATGAATTTTCCGCAATTTTAACACCTACTTGTAACATTGACCCTAGTGCAATGCTGGTTTGTACCAACGCGGATAAGTGGTCTCCGTTATGTTTGAAGCATGTACCATGGCACTCACTTCATCAGCAAAGTGTTGCGTGATGAACGATGGTAACCATTATCAGTAAGGTTTACCAGATCGAACAGTATCCCCACAAGCGAGCGACGCATCGGTGGACAATACTTTCAATATAGAGCACCCGAGGCTGCGTGGAACTCGCGCTTTTGAGCAGTGCCGAGATCGGCAAGTTGCAGTGAGAGCGATATACACCGCCGATGGATGACAACCGAGAGCGTGTGTAGCCCCTCGTAAATCGTTCAGCGTCACTGCGCCATCTCCATGCATATCGATTCGAAAATCGGTAGACCGAGGAATCCCCGGACAATCGATTGCAAAGAGTTCTTTGCCAAGAAATTGTGCCATACAAGTTGTGTGACTTTTTGTCAGTGCAGAAATTGTCCCTAAGGTCCGATGTCTGGCAACGACGCGGCGACTGCAAATTGCAATCGGGCGCACCAAGATCCCAAGAAGGCGACAGGCAACTTGTTCACCGTAGCCATCACATACTGTTTGCTACTTGTGCGCTAGTGCTTGGGTGCAAGTCCAACTCCGGGAAACGCACCGCTTTGTTGCCAGCTCTACGATCTCTACGAACGCGCAATACAACGTTGCAAGCATACTCGCCGTTGTCATAACTTCTTATTTCGCGGTTTGCTGGACAATGAGCTTCCAAGCAGCTCTCTACCGTTGCTGGAGACCCACACAAGCTTCATCTGCCTACGCGTTGTGGCGCTTTCGGTAGACCTAAAGGCAGGTGGCGCGTTACCAACCGAGATCGGGCCATAGTCGCGCCACGGCTGCGGTGCACCTCACACGACCGCACAATGTGCTTCACACCTTTCTCTCAGGAACATTCACGTCCTGCAGGCGGCGGTTGGCGCCGTGTCGCCACCCCACCAACAGGATAACAGCCATGTGACCTCGATTGCCAGCAGCTCACCCGGCTCGAGGGGCTTTCCAAAACCAGGACTTCCAGACGCTGCTCGCCAAGCGCTTGGCTAGCACGTGACCAACAGCTGAACAAATAAGACATCAACGCGCGAGGACACATACGCGGATATCATACCGCGTCGTCCTTCGTCGACACGATACAGAAAAGGGAGCGACGATGTGATGTCCATTGTTGTAGTTATCAGATCTCTAGTGCAACATGATCATCAATGACATAGGAATCTTCATTGGCGGTAGCCGTCACGTTGGGCTCCGCTGCTGCTGCTGCCACGGTAAAACTATCGGGCGCCTCCCAGCTCGTGGCCAGCGTCTCGACGTTCACGTAGTATGGCGCTTGGCTAGCCGGATCAACGTACATGACCCACGAGCTCACGCCAATTGCCGCGCTTTCAGCTGTTGCAACGGATTGCAGCGACTCCACGACTTCAGGAGAATCGCCACTCGGCGGCTCCCACGAACATTCGCCGGTCTTGGTGTTGTAGTAATACAGCTGCCCGGACGCCTCGTCCAAAAACTCCTGCCATGTGACCCGTGTGAGCGCGTCCTGCCCGCTTGGCGAGACGACAGCGTCTGTTGCCGTCGCTGCCGCTGCGTCTGCCGAATTTATGGCAGTGTGGTCTGGGGCTGTCCACTGCGTCTCGTTCGTGACGGGGTTGTAGTAGAACGACTTGCTAGTCGTGCTGTCCACATAGCGATCCCAACGCGGTTGCATCGCAGCGCTTTCAGAGTCGATTGCGGTATCCACAGACGCGGCTGCCAGTTTGTTATTACTCGGCCCAACTTCAGTGTTTTCGCTAGGCAGAAGCGTAGGTTGGTGGTGCGAAACAACTTCCTCTACTAGTGGCAGCTCAAAACTGGTAGTATAGTTGGGACTGTTGACCACATAGTTTTCAGAGGCAGGGTTTTCTAGATCGGTAGTAGCCCCTAGCATGTCTCCATTCACTTCTGCAGAATCATCAAAAAGTTCGACCGCAAATTCACTCGAGCCTTTTGGGGGTCCAATTCTCTCGATCGGCTCCGGAATCTCGCTGGAATGCAGCTCCGGTGTCAAATTCAAGCCTATTGCACAGCTCACTGATGCTGGAGCAACGTGCTGCACCTCATCCAACAGGTTTTCGACGTTATCCGCATCCACTCTTATTCCTGCCACTGAACTCTCGTGCTCGAGGCCACTACCCACCGCATCTGCTGCCCGGGTCTTCTTAATCTTCTGGCGAGTCTTCCTCCGTGTTTGACGGCGCTTCTTCGCTACCATGAAGCGCAGTTGATCGAGAATTAGTTGACGACGCACAAAGCATCGATACAGAGACTGAATCTTGCGAGCCGCGTTGTGGTGTTCGGTCCACGGTTGAGTGGGGTCTTGATCAAACTTTTCGGTCAGGGGTGCGAGGGTGTTGAATGTCAATGAAAGTTGTGGTCGTTCTTGCGTTGACGCTTCCTGTTCACCTCCGCTTAACTGACTCGCATCAGGTTCCTCTTTCCATTGTGCTCGGTCAACCGAGTTCACCTGCGCTGGCTTTGCGTCAGGACATGTATCCGTCATCACTGACGTGGAAGTTGAGCCATCATCCACCCTCGTATCATTTTCGGTGGGTGATGTAGTAGCGAGGTCTAACGTAGCAGCTTCTGTTACTAGTACTTGAGGATATTTTTCTACGGTCGAGTGGCAGTCGTTCAATGCTTCAGAGCATTCGCGTTTCAGGGGCGAGACAGCGTCCCCGTCAATGCTTTCTCGCTCCTTTACGGGATTTTCGTTTTGTCCAAGTAGAGTCTCAGCATCCACGACGGCAGCAACGGATACCCGCACTGTTGATCTTAGCTGGTTGTCACGTTCAACTTGCTCTTGACATGATTGCGAGTGAATGGAATCCAAGTTTTCTTCGGCAAGTTTACGCGATGAAACTCGCTGTAAGAATGAACGGGTTACTGCTTGTTGATGCAACCAAAAAGGGTCTTCCTTTTGTAGATCACCAGTGCCGTGTTGAGACTGTGGCGACGAGTCTTGCGGTGGCGGAGGCGTAGCAATAGCGGTCTCTCCATTAGTTACGGTCATCGTAGGCTCCTTCTGGGTTGCATTGGACTTGCTAATTTTTGTCTTCTTTGGCGATCGAGGTTCGCTCTTTGCACTCGGACTGGTACTGTGCACAGTAGCATGTTCAGTTGTCAACTCCATCTCAATTATTTTATGGTCTGCGAGCATTGTGCTAGTAGTAGTTGCTGTGTCGGTCAGCGTTTCCATGGCAAGACTGAGCAGATTTGATGAGACCGTATTATTATATATGAAGTATTCGACATCTCGCTGTTCATCACCTGTGTCTGACTCGGAGTGATTTCTGTTCGTCTCTGGAGACTGTAAATCACGAACGCAGTCATTTCGATCGAGCCTGTCTGTAGCCTCACTGGTGGCGAGTTGTGGTATCATCCTGGCTTGATCAATGGCACCTGCATCTGTCGTAAGAAGAAGAAGAGTTTCACCAGACTCCATAGAAATCGATCGATCCAGCAACAGAGTCTTTGAGTCTGTAAGAAGGGATGGATCCAACGGTCCGTCAGTGCTTTGATCGTATTGGCTTCCGCTCATCGTCATAGCCGAGCTATTACTGCCTTCATAGGCACTTTCATTTCCTTTACTTTCCACAAGATAGTCAGAACTGATAGAAGCCGTCTTGATTCCCTCCTTTTCATCTCTCAAAACCATTTCTTGATACGTTAAAGTCTCGTAACCGCAAACGCTTTGCTCTGATCGCATGAATGACAAGGACGAATCCGCTTCATCTACCATATTGGCGGGTTCGATAATCGTATTTCCACTCAAGCCACGTTCACTGTCTCCAACGTAGGGCAGGATATCACTGTCGGTTGCTGCTTGAGGACTAATCTCAACCAAAATATCGAATTTGTCAACGTCGGCGCTATTCGTTTTGCCACCCAGTCCAGCCACTTCAATTCTGCTGCTCGGACTTTCATTTACGACGTACCTTACAGTCACCAATTGTTCGCCACCTTTAGTATCACTTTCAACACTCGTACCAACGTCAGAGTCATTCAAATCCAAAACCGACTCCTTCAGTGCAAATGCTTCCGTCTCTGCGGGCTGGGATACTGTCACGTTTACATCTGCATGTACTGACAAACCAGTGCTGGTCTCTTGTCGCGGACTCATCGATCCTTCCACAAGGATTCGCTCTTCGTTCACTTGAGCGCCTTCCTCACCACACGCATCCGTTTCACCATGGAACATATCCCTATCACTCAAGAGATTCATATAGTCATCCTTCTCAACGTCTGGCAGGTTATTCCTACTGACACAGTTCGTTCCACAGGAGACGATGGGAGATTCCTCTTCTGATAATTCGTATCCAAATGCGGTTGGTGAAGGCTCTGTATCCTCTGGCGATGATCCAGTACTAGCTCGTTCGATGAGACTTTCGGCAACGTGTTCCTCTTCGATGATGTCACTGTCTTGTCGCCCAGTGCTTTCCTCTTTCTGTTCTTCGTGAGAGATTTCTTCATTGGTCGATCCAATAGGACTCACATCGCTGTCTTGGTTTGTGCAACTTGCTTCGTTTACATCGGCATCCAAATCATTTGCAACGTGTAACTCGGCTGAGGTGACCAACATCAAGTCACAATTCGCTGGTGCCATGTTACTCGTCTTCGATTCTGCTACAGCCGTCGCGTGTGCACTAGCTCCGGATTGAACGAATGACTCCGGATAATCTTCACAGGCAACACCAAGCTCCAGATATTGAACTGTAGGTTCACTAGAAGTGCCCACCATCTTATTTTGCACTGGTAGATCAGAAGAAGCACTGTCGACGCTGTCGTGTGTCTGCTGGTCTTCCCATAGATGAGGGAGTAGTTTCAGTGGAGGAATTACCAATGTTAAGGTGGCAAGCGATCCACTTGGCAAGTTCTCGTTTCCATAACCTGGTGATTGTAGTGCACATTGGGCGGATCTTGGGCTTTGCACTTCAACAGCAGCAGGCTCCTCCGTATCCTGATTGCTGCAGTTCCTCTGGAGCTGTTTATCAGAACTGCTCGACCTGCTAGACGTTTGTCTTGACATCGTAGCATTGGCCGACTTTGAACGTGTAGAAGCTACATGAGGCTTGGCTACAGTAGAGTTATCCAGTGGCAGGTCCGTCTTCCTAGGTCTTCTTTCCCTAGCAGACTGCTGTGCCTTCAACTGGTTTTGCACATTTCTGGACGAGCGTAAGTGTGTGTCTGCTTGCCTTCGAAACGCAGCAAGGACTTCAGCAACTCGCTTCTCCATTGACATTTGTTTCTCGCATGTCTCGAAGGATTTCCCTAGTGATTTCGATAAACCTGATGGTATCCATGGACCCCTCGTCGACCGCTTTTGATGCGGAAATTTTGGTGCCCTTTGCTGCGCGGAGGTTTGACTTGTATGCTGGGACTCCAGACGCTGCTTCTCAGCTTTCTTCTTATTGACCAGCTTGCTCCGAGTTCGTGTTTTATCTTGAATAGCTCGATTGTCTTCTGATCTGTCTGCACGCGACGACTCTCGACCCTTGCCTAACATCATCTGGCGATCATGTTCTTGCTGCCGCCTTTTCCGACTGCGTGCTAAGTGAAGTCCACTTCCACAGGCCAGTGTTGGGCTGCAGTCTTGAGCTTTACCAGCGATAGCGGCGCTGTTCTGCCTCTTTCGCCTCCGAGTCGTGGCTTTTGATTCGACCACTTGAAGGGTGTTGTACAGCAACTCGTACGTTTCTAGCTCCAACCTTCGCAGATTTAGTTGTTCGAATTCCGGCCCTCGCTCCAGCATTTCTCGCCATTTGGAGGGATTTTGTTGAGCGACAGACTTCCACACGACACGATTTTGATTCTGGACTACATTTACACTGCAAGGCACCTCTGATCTTGTCTTGGCTGACTGAGGTCTCACTCTGCTATTGGCTGGCCTGTTGTTTTCTGTTACGCGACGTGTATGAGAAGCTGACTGGGGACGGATTCTTGTTACTGGTCGAGCGCCTACTGGAGACTTACGGCCGCTTGAGCGTCGAAGTGTTTGGAAAAAATGAGCTTCTAGCGTAGCAGCTCGCGTTTCAAAATCCATCGTGGCGAAATCTTCATCTAGATGACGTTCTTCTCGCTGTCGTATCTGCTCTGCTACTCGATCCACACCACGCCACTGCATTGTTGATTCGTCGTAGCCCTGGGCGTGATCATAGGGCCATTGCGATATGAAGTCTCGCGTCGTTGACTCAGTCATTAGAAAAAATGCTTTGGAGCATCAAGTTCACCAATATTCTGCTCGGAGTAAACACAGTCCCTTGTGCCTTCTAGAAGCTGTTTCACGATTAAAAATAAGCCACCTGTAATGGAAAGTATAACAACTAAATTGCATGATGAGATTCAGTGCTGTGTCCTTCTTGATCGTCTTACAACTTCCAGTTCCTTTTTTTTTCTTGATCCACGTGCAATGCGATATGATGTGATGCAGTCCACCTCCGCCACTCAGCCAGCCATCTCTCTACTTCCGCTTCTTCTCCGCCCACTTGTCCGAGCCGTAGCACGCCGCAGCGCCAGCACCGACTGCCAGCGCCGAGTTCCGTACCGCCGACCACTTGCCACCTATAGTAAAAAAAAAACATAACCAAATCAGTCATTCACTTCAACTTCATCTCTCCGAGTCCACGTACGGATCAACAGAGACGGCACGCCCACCACCACCGCCAGACCGGCAGCAGCCACCTCCGGGTGTTCGCGTCGGAACTCGTTCGCCTTCACCAACTCTGCCGCAACAGCAATAAAACAAGATTAATATAATGACATACTCTCGTAGGAAATATACAACACTGACGCTGCTGGGCGACGGCCAGTGCACCCTTGACGGGCACCAGCTGGTCGTCCGCGATCTTCTTGGACTCCTCGAGCTGCAGTTGCGCAGCGTAGAGCTGCTTGTTGAGGCTCACACGGGCCTCGCCCAGGTGTTTGCGTAGCTGCGTGCCCTCGTCGCCATCGGCGCGCTTGAAAACATCCACAACGGGCGCCGCGAACTCCTTGGTGGCCTTCCACACCTGCTGCGCCGTCTCGCTTATCGCATGACGTGCCGAGCTTGTGAGCTCCTTGGCGTGGTCCACCTCACTCAGCACCACGTCGCGCGCCTGGTTCACGGGTTTCGCGGCCGCATCGCGCACACTCTTGGAAGCCTCATCCAGCTGCTTGGACACGGCGCCCAGCGCGTCATCCCACGGCTTCTTGTCGCCCTTGTCTGCCATACTCGACTGATTGATCTAATGGCTGCACGTTATGCTAATTGACGGTTTGTACACTACTGTTACACAATATAGTGTGCATAGCATCAAAAACATCAAATTATGTTGATGTGGTGTGGCATTCGCTTACTTCGCAACAGTGTCGTCCACCTGCCAAAATGGAGGCGGAGGCGCAGCTGGCGCGGGCGCTGGCGGCGCTCACAGAGCGCGAATTCCTACTATCTCGTGGTAAAGAGACACGCCTAGATGCTTATTTGCAGCTTGAGGAGTTACTGCGTCTGGAAGACTCGGACGCCTCCGTTATGGAGCTACAACGTCATGTGCCATCACTGCTGAGCGAGATGCGCTACGACCTGCGGCACAACGCGCTAAGCGACGTGTTGCACTCCGCGCTGCGCTGTCTGTCATACCTGATGCATCACTACAGTCTGGCCGCTGCCTTCTCAGACGAGCACATGAGTTTCTTCCTCGGTGAACTTGTGCGTATGCTGTTCTCCACGCAGGACCAGAGCACATACAAGTTATGTCTCTGGGGTCTCACAATGCAAAATTTCCCAGCCGATAGACACAAACTACTGTCGCGTACGGTGGAAGGATTGGTACAAGCTGTGGTGAACCCGTTTAAGTCACGAGCAATTGAATTGCAAGCGCTCAAAGGGCTGCACCTATTACTGGTCAAATATCCAGAGCAGTTGAGTGTTAATGGGGCAGTGTTAAGTATCTACGTAAGACCAATTGCAAGTCGACTAGCGAGCAGCGAGGCGGCCACGAGGACACAGGCACGACTGGTGCTGGAAGAAGCGAGTAAACACTTAACAAAGTGGTCGCAGGAGACGCTGATGATGGTGCAGCACTGCGGAGAGAAATATTTATTACCGATAATGAAGTCACACATGGAAAACGACAGAAAGAAAGACGCCATTAATCTGTGGAAACTGACGCTAGTGCTGCTAAAGTCGAAGTTTTCGAGTGATCTAGGGAAACTGAACGAGGTACTGTACATTCCGGAGAAGTGCATGGAAGACGAAGACGCAGCGGTTCGGTTGATGACTATGCAAGCGTGGAGGGAGGTAGTGGAGATATTTCACGCGTGCCACAATTGGCTGTTTAACAAGGCTGTGGTGAGTTTGTTGGTATGGCCAATCAAGTTGTGTTTGGAGCAGGAACTGCTGCTCAACGTCGTCGATGCGGCATTCGAGTCGTGGCGAACGATCGTGATCGTAGCAGTAAATGATTTTAACGCGTATATCCGACAACAGGCCGTTGAAGCAGGAGATCAGCAAAGTGTGCCCGAGTGGAAGTTCTGGTATGGAGAACTAGTAATGTCCCCATTGCTTACGCTGATGGAGAAGCGACCAAAAGCCAAGGATAAAGCATCCACGGTCGAGTTGGACCAGTTTATTAAGTTTACGGAGCAATTATGGGAACCGAAGCAACGTGAACCAAATAAAAGCAAGAGCAGTCCATCTCGAAGTGAAAACAGCAGCAGTACCACAATGGGAGGATCTTCTGTTGATGCGAATACGACCTCAAAGGATGCAGAGCTTAGGTCTGTGGAAGATCAGGGCTATGGTAGCCACATAACGTTCGAGTTGATTGGTGTTGCTTTTCTACTAGAAGACATTTTCGGTGCTGTTCAGAATTTAATCAAGATATCCGACGGAAGCTGCGGTGTGGAGAGCAAAAGGCGAGCGAATGACCTTGTGATGGCTACTTGGAAAGGGGTTTGCCGCCGGATTAACTTAGGTAGCAAGAGTGCTGGATCCTCGTCCAACTTTAATATGCGTCTTGTGCGGATGTGTATCGATTTTTCGTTTGGAATTCTGACTTCGAGTTCCGCCGAAACACTCGATGTGAGCGCACCAACCAGCCATGCTAAGCACAACGTTGAAATCAAACCTCCTAGGGTTGTTGTTGCATCCGTGGGTTTTGGATTAGAGTGGCAATTGCAATTACTAGCTCCTCTTGTGTCCGGCGTCGCGACTCCAGGAGATTTGCAATCAGTGATGCTCCACCCAAAAAGTAAACTATTTGACCATATCACCCGACGCATGGAGTATCTTAAAGACATGTACATTCAGTGCGCTACAGTGTTGAAGAAATGGAAAGACTGTGAAATTAACGAGCTGAACGTCGATTTTACGGCTAAGGACAACGTGGTACCATATCTCGTGGTTAATTTACTGTTCGAGTACGCAGTTTTTGTGGATGACGCGAATAATGACCGTGGGGATGCTAAACAATTTACTCTGACGTGTCTGGAAACTGTGGTGAATCATCTTTTGGAGAGTGTACAAGCCGGCGCTCCGCAACTTGATCGTGGATTGTACTCCATAATTCGCTTTGGTGAGGAATCCATTCGAGCAGCTCATGATCTTATCGCTTTCGACTTTGCAAGCGGGAAGAGGAGCATGCTAGACGAGCTTGCTGTTTCTGCGACCGCCAGCACTGCTAGTTCTACGACTCCAAGCGACACTGCTGATGCTGAAGAAAAGAGTTCTCGCGTCGTTATACAGGTGTCGGCATCGCTAGATACTAGCACTTCCTCACCATGTCTACTAAGCGGCGAGAATTCTACGATACCCAGTATAAGCCCCGTTGAGAACAGTCCAGCCTCTTCAGCAGAAGAGAAACAAAAAACTAGTGGCAAGCAGAGCCCAGATCGAAGCACAACTACTGCTGAAGAAAATACTATTGCAACCACCCAACAAGCAGAAGCCTCAGAAAAAGCGGAGACGAAGAGTGTAAATGAAAAAGTCCAAGTACCGCCCGCTGGATCTCAATCAGCCCCGCCAAAACTTCATACGCAACGCCCGAATAGTAGCACGACCCAGTGCATTTACCCAGACCTCATTGAATGCACAGAAGGGATCGCATCACTGTACAGACATTTCCCGTTGGGCTTTCGACCCTTCTTCTCCTTCTACAAGATTAAAACGATTGGCGATTTGAGTGCCTTGCCCGTGGAAAAAGTGAGAACGTTCGGACTTAAAGAACCTGTCAGTACCGTTCGACGGGCACTCGAAGAGTTTAATGGGCGGAAGGACCGTATGAAGACATTGACCGGCAGTCCTTTCCGGCAACGCAGCGGTTCTGCCTCCTCGAGTCCTGCAATTCCCACGCCATCTCCGCACAGACCGTCCAAGCGTCCATTTCGTCTGGAGAGTGGAAATATCGCCCCTCTATCTCTAGGAAAACGTGAACACAAGCGTACGAAACGCTCACTGGTGCTCGATGGAGAAGACGGTGATGAAGAAGAGAGTGAAGGAACTCGTCGGAAACCGAAATTGGCAGACCGAGTTACGTTCTGCCTTCAAACGGGTGAGACTGGTGAAACTTGTATCACTCGACCGGGTGAGGATTCACAGGATCAGTTGAGACCTTCAGAGAAAGTTGAGGAGAAGGAGAGTATGCAAGAGAAGATGGATACTTACACACTCAAGTTACTGCAGCATCTACGCCGATCAGTCTACTACATGGACAAACTCGTAGCTGAGGAAGAGAGTATGGAGTCGAGTTTTGGCACCACCATAGCAAATGTGGGTGGCGTTATCACCAACTACCAAGAAGCTCATGATTTAGTATCTAGACTCGCTTCACAACTCCAGATTGCGGCTGAAACGAGTACTAAGCGATGTCGAAAACTGCTGGATAAGCGTGGTTAAACCTGGATTATACGAGGATAAAAATACGAAGCGCCGAGTTATACTCATCTAGTCGCTATGGAATGCCTGGTACCATGGAATGGGTTGGCACTTGAACGCTGGGAGGTTGCTCTTGACGAGGACAAGAACAGTCTACTTGCTCAAACACCCCATTGGAGGGTAAGCAAAGGTACTTGTGGTGATGTAAACGTGGTGTTCTACTCCTGTCGTTCTACTCCTCTGAAGTTGGAGCTTTGGTCGGTAGCGCTTGAAACTCTACAGCAGTTCATCGCAGCACATCCTCACCCGAATTTTGTCCAGTTTCTTGGTGTGGTGACGCCATCAGAGCAGGTTCAAAATGACGCCCTACCTCCAAGTGAATGCGTCGTCATGGAACATCTGCCCATAAGCTTGTATGACGTGCTACATCGTGACCACATTGCGCTATCACGTCGGGAGATCGCCGTGATTTCAATCCAGATTCTTCGGGGCCTACTGTTTTTACACCGAAAACAACAAAGCTTGGGTGTATGTTTAACCAGCAAAAAGGTCATGATGGGCGGATCCAACAATGTCAAGCTGCGTCGATTTGGTCTAGAATTGGTTTTACGATCGGGCAATGCTCCTGCTCAACTATCGACTGCCACTTTAAAGACGAGCTACGAAATCACACCTGATCCTCAACAAGCAGCGAAGGTTACAACTGGATGCGACTCAAACTCTTCGCCCCATTCATTGTCTCCGTCTCCATCCAGAAGCCCGGCTACAGTGCGTACTAATGGGTCAAGTGACGTGGGGTTCACGACGATAACTCAGGACCTGTTTGCGTTCGGAGTTCTTCTGCTGGAAATGTGCGCGGGTGACAAGCCCACAAGTGAATTGTTCAATCGCATTTCTTGTGCCAAACAAATTGACCCAGTTTTCTACAGTGTGTTAGAGCTGTCGGGAGTTATCGCAACTGAGAAACGTCGACAAATTTCTGTGCCTGTGACTACGGAAGGTTTACTGGCTATGCTGGTTGCAAACGAGCAACAGCGAGCCGTAGAAGAGCAGCGATTGTCATCGTCTTCGTTTTCCTGTTTCCTGTATGCCGATCGATATTTTGTAACACGAGAGGCCGAGCAAGTCGAGATAAAAGTTCGGGAACGAGAACGCCGAGGAGAAATTGATCTCAAACGTCTTGCTGCAGTCGAGAAAGAGCTACTTGAAGAACAGAAGAACTTTGCCATACTCGTTCTTCAACTGGAGCAATCTCAGAGAGAAAAGGCTCAAGCATTGAAAAATAACCAGCGACTACAAGCACAAGTACAAACGAGTGAGCAGATCAAACGTGAGAGCGATGAGGAGATTGGGCGTCTTGTGGCAAAGGCTGAAGAACAAACGGAGCAATTGGTAGCATTGCAGGCCTCCTTGGATGAAGAGCATCGAAAAGTGGAGACATTGCAACTTGGAAAGATCAGTGACGCAGAAGAGAAGCAAGGTCTTCTATTCGAAATCCTCAAGCTGAAAGAGGACAAGCGTAAGCTTGCAACTGAAAAAGAAGAGATCGAAGCAGCAAATGCGGTGATTGCTCGAAAAGTGGGTAGAGAGAAGGAGACGCTCGAAGATCTTGAGGGTAGACTAGCCCAAGCAATACATCGTTGGGAAGAAGAGCAGCATGTGCGAAGAAGAGCTGAAAGACAAGCAGAAAGTACCAGCCGTCAACTTTTACAAATGGAGGAGGAGCGGTGCAAATACTCCAGAGTGCTTCAGCAGAGCCCCACAGGTAAACGTGGCCCTGAAGCTTCGCTATCGTATGTACTTACACTGAAGGATAAGGAGATTAAGGAATTGTCGCGTAAGCTTCAAGAGGCTCTTGATGATCAGACAGCGTTGCAGGCAGATGTCGATCAACTGGAAGCTGGTCAAAATTGTATCAATGTTGAGATGGAGAAGTTACTATCACAGAGAGATGAGACTCAGAATGAGTTCCTTTCGATGAGATCTCAACTAGAAGAAAAAGAAGGAGTCGTTGCTGGTCTGTACGAAAAACTTCACGCTGCTGATCGTGAGATCGAGAGCTTGAAGAATAGAATTGCTGACTTTGAAGAAGAACTGGAGCGCCAAGCAAAGAAAAAAGAGGATGAAGGTATTTGCTCGTACTTCTACTAGCGATGCATTTGTAAACCTGGACTAATATTCGCTTGTATCATACTGTCACCATTAGAAAAGGCACGCAAGCTACGACAGTGCTTGACACCCCAATGCGATGCTCCTCGATATCTCGTAGGAGTGTCAGGTTACTGCAAAGAGTGTGAGGAGCGTACTGGTCGAACGTCGTCTACTCGGGATGTTAAACAGCAACGACACCGCCGCCATCGCAGTTGGGATGATGCGAGTATCGGTGGTGGTGCAGTGCGAAAGAATATCAAGAACATCCCGATCATGAAGCTGGTCCACGTACTTTCAGGAGGAGGCAGTGAGGACTCGAGGGTCGAAGATCCAGACGAACAGCAGCTACTGGGAGCCCTCAAGCAACTAACTTCGATGCTGAAGTCCGATGAAGGACTAAAAGATGACCTTCCGGAATGCTTGGTGATCAAATCGGTGCTCACTCTAATGCACCAGCAGAAGAGTAGCCTCGTGCTTCAACTCGAATGTTGCAGGTGTCTAAGTGTGGTCGTGTTCAACCATGACCGCAACCGTCTCATCGTCGTAGCAGAAGGTGGCGTTGACCCAGTGTTAGCAGCGATGAAGAATTTCCATTCCGAGCCTAAAATGCAAGAAACGAGCTGCGTTCTGCTTACAAATCTGGCACACAATTGTGGTAAGACCGTAGTATTGTTGCATGTGTTCTGGTTACTAAGTTTTAACGCATGACAGAAACCAACCGTAACAGAATTTTGGATGCTGGTGGAGTTGACGCAGTTCTGCAGGCTATGCAAACTTTTCCTGAACATTATGGCGTCCAAAAGCGTTGCTGCTGGGCTTTACTTACGCTGGCAGGATCAGGTACAACTATTCCTTCAGCTTATTGCTCATAGTTGTTCTGACATTCTCGTAGACTTGATGTGTGATAGTATTGCTATGCGAGGTGGACTTGGTGCTATCATCGCAGCGATGCTCAACTGTCCAGCAGACGAGCACGTTCAGTATTACGGAAGCTGGGCGCTCGTCAACTTGCTCTCTGGTACTGAGCGATTGCTAGCCTTTGCACGTCGTGAAGGTGTACGAGAAGTCGCTGAGGCAGCGCACGCGTGTTTTCCTGGTCATGAAGGAATTCAAGAGAAGACACTCGAGATTCTGCGGCTACTTGGCTGATAGTATAACTTCTCTATTGTATCAACACTTTGCAACTACAGCTCTGTGAAGGAGTACTGGACGCCATGAAGCAACAGCTCACCTGGTGCAGTCGACGCAAGGGAGCATTGAGTGGAAAAAGAGTCACCAGCATTGTAAGGAACGATTCGCTGTCCTTGCAGTCCCAGAAAGATTCCATCGTCACATAATATGCCAACGCAGTGCTCGACTAGAGCATTCACTTCCATGGCAACTGTATCTGAGTGTTCTGCTGAGTGGCGAAAGACGCGACATCTATCAACGCATTGACAAACCCAGCGGTAAGCTACACGACTTACTCAAGACAGCCAACAGAAAGCGGCAAAACGTACCGGATCTTGCTTGGCCGAGCAGCTAGAGCTTCGCTTCGAACTAAGAGCACAATGCTGGAAATGTGGAGCGAAATCTGTAGGAGTTTGCTTTCCAATTCGTTGTCACTCTTCAAACTGGACTGAACTGAAAGTACCCGCCCTTTGCTAATATCAACTTGATACATCTGAGGCGCTGATGAAAATCCACTGTCCCAACGGAGCGCGAACTTAGTAATGGTGCTGATCTGAGTGATCGGTATAGCAACACGATCAGCGTCGAGATAACCGAAACGTCTACTGTAGGTCTCGCTCCACACACCACTCTGTCCAGCAAGACGACGGCTACTTAACTCTTTCCCATTGATGGTGACACTACCAGAGATGTTGATCGTGCTAGCGTCGGAGCCGATATGAACAGTCGGGCTGGCCACACCAATTGATACAACCTTCGCTTGCGAACCAACATCCACGTTCGCTTCCGATGCACCGATTGTGATATCACTCGTAGATTTACCGCCAATGTCAATTGTGCTCGAATGCACAGCGAGAGATGCGCCGCTGAAAGTGGTGACACCTGTAAACATTAACCAATTAGCGATTCCAAGAGTATTGCATCACGTCTTTCACAGCACGTACCAGCCACGGACACTGCTTCACCCTGAACATTAATTTTGGTCCCGTCCTCACTCCCGATCGCAATATCATCCGCTTGTTCTCCAACTGACAATGTCTCCGTAGCATCAATCACCACAGATTTACCGGTCAACGAAACTTCAGACGCTGTGTACAGAAGAACAAGAGTGCAAAATACACGACGGTCAGTTGCCAGCACCCCAGTCAATTTAGCCACGTAGACAAACACCAACCTTCGGAGCCCACAGTAATACTGGAGCTGAAAAGTTCAAGCGTGCTTTTAGTCGATGGGAGTGTGGTAGCATTCGCTCCAGGTTCACCAATAGTGACGTGATTTGCCTCAATTGATGCGATACTTGTCTTGCCTTTAGCACCCACGCGAAACTTTGGCGGGTTCGCTCTGACTGCGGCATCCGTAACAGTCAGTAAGGAATGTGTACTGGAGCTGCCGTTGAAATGCACCAGACCCGAAATGGTGGTGATGGCTTCACGATTGCGAGTGTTGATCGCGACCGAGTGGGAAGCGTCCAGCTCTATCGCTGATGACGCCACCTTAGTCACTTGGTCCGATGTTTCACTACTTCCAACCAGAATCGACGAAGAACTTTCTCCAATTGCAACACTTTTAGTAGCATCGAGCGTTGTAGTGACTCCCAGTACTTTAATCGTAGACAAACCAGCTTTACCGACTTGAACTGCCGGTGAAGATGCACCCAGACGGATATCATTTGAGTTAACGTGCAATTCCGACAAGCTCGTCGCTCGGTTATCAAGCGTGATACGCTGAGCCGATACATTAAAGCGTCCACCTCCCACTTTAACCTCCATGGTATCATTTACGCCAGACTCTTCATTGAATGACACAAGACCGCGAATTTTTACCTCGTGAGTCGAACCGTGGCTGCCGATCACCGTAACAGACGATGCTGATTTGTGTAGCCCAGCGTTAATATTGATAGATCCATACTCCGATTCTGAATCGGTTGCTTGACCTCCAACTAAAGTCACATCACCGCCAAAATTCAGACCGTCTCCACCCACGATGCGGATGTCTCCTCCTTCCTTCTGCGTCGAAGACGTTTGTCCAGCTACTTCCAGGGTCACGCTCCTGCTTTCGTCGCCATGACTTGTTGACTCCAATGCGCGTGCACCATCGTCTCCGTCATTACCACTATCAGTAGCATCAGGCACCGAGATTCGTACTGTTCCACTCGATGAAGTACCAACGAATACTGTGTTCGTATCAAGGTACAACGGTTCTGACGAAGACAAACTCGACACGTTCTCGCTGTGCTTTATCGTTAAACCGCTGCCAATACTGATGGTCCCACGCGTGCCATCCAAAGTAATTCCAGTCGATGTAGGCTCATCCGAGTCGCTGTTAGCCACGGTCACCGTTCCAGCTGGATCAACGAAAAGCAGTGACTTGCCTCCAGCACTCGTGACGACAGCTCCAGTTTTTGACACGAGATTTAAGTCACCCTGCTCTTTCACACCGCCAGAGCTATTGGCAGCCGTGGTCATCACCGTCCCGTCATCGAATATAACTCCTTTCCTGGCACTCAAATAATCAGCCTCGATCATAGGTGCTAATGGCGAACAACAAAAATGTCAGCCACTCCAAAACAAAAAAAATACAGTTCAAGCATATCTCTAAGTTTTCGACTCAACTTACACTCCAGTCTGTTCGTGAACGTCGACGTTCCGTTAGAAAAAAAAGTTACTCCATAAAACGCCTGCAGATCCTCCGTCTCCAGCGCACGTCGACCAATCTTCAGCTCTCCATCGTCAAAAGCGATCATGCCTTCCGAGTATACTGAGTTCGAGTACCCTATGCACAGTAAAAAAAATTATCAGCAACTAAAATACCCGACCGTCCACTTCATCATCCTACCGCTCTTTAAGAAAATCTCTGCGTCATCTTCTGCCACTACCGTAAATCTGTTATCCACGGTCGTACCAAACAAATCGTTCTGATGGGACTCGAAGAAGTCCGTCTGTGTCAAGTAAATAGTAATACAACTCATGAGTGCAAAGCTCAACACCGTGAGCACTCCAATTGCCGTCCAGAACATGTCGTGGTCCTCGCTCTTGCGTCTTCTAAGCGTAATTCTCTGTAAAATTCCACCACTGGATCTGTATCGGAAGCTTCGACCATCCGTGTCTGAGTGGAAGAAGCCTCGATGTCCCCGCAGCCTCCTCAGCCGCTGAACACCGATACCGGCCATGTGTCCGGCCATATCTCCGTCCTCATCGTCCAGCATTAGGTGATCTGTACGCAGTTCATCACCAGGAGACTCCATCGGGATGGCTTGGCGCCCTCGACGGTATGCATGCTCCTCGCCCTCTGCGGACTGCGCGTCATCATCTTCATCGTCTTGGGCATCGCCTTCTTCTTCAGGGCGGGACGACGCGTCATAGGGGCCTAAATCGTCCGCTCCATCTAGTGTCAGTGCGCGCCGTCCGCGGCCTTCAAAGAGCGCGGGGCCGCTACCCACGTCGATCACGTCGTGTTCCCTGGGAGACGAGGCCATGGCGCCGATCTCAACTTATCAGAGTCTCAGGTATAGAGTGACGTCGAGTTGTGAACACGCAGATACTCTATCGGTCGTAGTAAACATATCTATTGCTACCGATAAATCATGTGGCACACATCAATTCCGCCGATGCGTCTCATAAATTACAAAAGACGCCGCATCAGGTTGCAGTTTGGCGAAGAGATCACTTTAAATTTTGCCAACAGCTAGAGACAATGGCGGAAAACTACATTTTGTACTCGTATTGGCGAAGTAGCTGCTCGTGGCGCGTGAGGATCTCGCTGGAGTGGAAGGGCATCCCGTACGAATATCGATCCGTGCACTTGCTGAATGGCGGCGGCGAGCACTTCAAGGACGAGTACACGACACTCAATCCGAACCAGCGCCTTCCGACACTCGTTGTGGACGGCAAGGTGCTGCCGCAGTCTGTCGCCATTCTCGAGTTCTTGGAGGAGACGCATCCAGAGAAGCCGCTTCTACCCAGCGACCCGTTCGCTCGCGCCCAGGTCCGCAATCTTTGTGCCATTATCGGCTGTGACATCCAGCCGATCCAGAACTTGACGGTACAAGTCAAGGCAACGGAGGAAGTACCTGAGGATCAACGAGTCGCCAAGAAGCAGGCGTGGGGAAGATTCTGGATCGAACGAGGCTTTGAAGCGCTGGAGCGAGAACTGGCCAAGACAGCGGCCACGTACTGCTTCGGGGACGAGATCACGCTCGCGGATCTGTATCTGCAGCCGCAAGTGTACAATGCCAACCGCGTCGGTGTGGACATGACCAAGTACCCGACCATTTCTCGAATCTCCGCGAGTCTAGAGATGTTACCAGCATTCCAGAAGGCTCATCCGTCCCAACAACCTGATGCAGTCAACTGATGGTCAATAATTGACACACGTCGAGCACGGTTTAGATATTTTCTATTGAGACTTGTATTTGATCTATTGGGTTTGTTTGAAAGAGCGGAGTTTCTCTTTGACTGCCTTTAGATGCTTCTTAATTGTCCGGACTTGCTGTTTGTCCACTTCACTTCGAGCTTTCTCAAACGCCAGTGCGACTTCCATCTCCTTTTTCAACTTGATGTATTGCTCCTGTGATAAGTTAGCTCCGAAGGGTGAACATAATAGTAAATCGGAGTCGACTCCGTCTCGAAGCGCGCGAAGTGTGTTAGCGAAATCGTGAATGCAGCGCTGGCGACGGTAATTGAACCACGGCTCGAAGTGAGGGCCCTGTACGAACGCTTTGTATAGAGCTTTCCACTTGCCCTGTTTGATCTGTGGAGGAAGCTTCCGTGGCTTGATACTTGACAGTAATCCAGGCAGAGTAAAAGGCTTCATGTAGTCCTCAGCACTCATGTACAGATTTGACCGCCTCCCACTAGCTTTCCAGATACCGAAGTACTGCTCAAACGGGAGTAAGAAATCCTTCGTGAGCTTCCGGAAATGCTGCAAATGTCATAACAACATTGATTAGGCACAGAAGGAGATATTGAGCACTTACTAGATCGTGTCCTACCTTTCGAAGAACTGCATTGTTGATCGTGACGTATGGCTCTTCTTCGTGGCTCGTAGTCTGAGTAATGCGGACTTCTGGAGGAGATACGAGCTGGTGAAGAACTGTGACGTCTGGGGTCATACAGCGCGGGCAACGCCTCAATAGCTAAAGTTGCAGAAACGAATCAATTGTCAGTGCATTGAGTAACTCAAACAAGAGAATTTCACATTGTACCATGGGGCGATGGCTATTCTCGAAATCATCCAGCTCCACGTTCTTCTGAATGCGAAGGCAAATAGTGCCCGTTTCCTCCGCTTCGGTATGTTCAGCTCTAACGGCGCCTACGTTTAAAAAAAACAAAATGTCGGTCAGGACACAATATCTGAAGCGGCAAATGAGATAAACCTCTGCTACCTTTTGCTGAATGCACTTTAGCGCGTGGAGGTTCTAGGAACGGAAAGATGAGAGCATTTGGCCAGTGGCTGAGCGACTGTACACAAGTTTAAGTGTTAGCTTGTCAAGCGCAACAGCCCAATATGAGTCTTTAGTACCTTCATAAAGAACGGGTTTGTGGTTCCGATGACAGTCACGTCTTTCGGGTTACTGACACCGTGGTTTTGTCTGCTTGAGAGCGTCTGCATGGTGAAATATCGAATCGTGTCGTTAGTACTCAATTAAGCTCATACGCCAAACTTATTAAAGACGCTCACGTCAAAATCGGCTTCATATACTGTGAAATATGGCCGGCAATCGCCTTGGAACTGGAGTGGGGCAATTAAACTGGCCAAAAAAGATGGAGATTAGAACGAGCTAATTGAAATAGTGTAAACCGGGCAGTCAAACCTGGTAAATGCGAGCGCAGCTTGACTGCATGTTCTGGCGTGAGGAGATAAGATCAGAAAGCTCTCTCCAGTAATTGCAAGTTGCCATAAAAGCCATAGTGATTCCTCCAGTCCCACAAAACTGGAGTACAGTCCAATGTTCTACAACAAAAAAAAAAAGAGTATTCAGTCATCTTGATCGACAAGAATCAGCAAATAGTACACACCTCAAACGGAGTTAATTGGTGTGTCCGTTTCGAAAGAAGAAGATCTCCAAAAGATGGTGACGGAGGATGTTGTCTGTGCGATACCACAAAATTGCCTTCTTTCACTAGCACAGTCTCCTCGGTATCGTCATCCTCATCTCCGTCGTCTTCATCTACATCATTGAAACCCGGTATATCTGTGGCATCGTCGTCTCCCTCGATAATGAAATGCGAGTGCAATGGCGACTCTGCATCGGACTCGTACGTTGAATCCGGATGCTCATAGTCGAGCAACTTCGGGACGATACACGAGATGTACGTGCCAGCAAGCGGCAGCACCACGGGAGTGTCATGCACGAGCTCAGGCCTGGTGCACAGTAAAATACGCCATACACAAATCAGTGCCAATACCTTGCCGAAAATAGGCGTAACGCAGCATACCACGATTTTATGTTGTTGTAGACCGCAGCTAAGACGTGCGGGCCGACTTTGAAGAAGAGTGGTCCGATCACCCGCAGCACCCGGTCGTATAGATCCACGTAAGGTTTTGTACTCACCAGTACTAGCGCCTTCTGGAAGTAGCCGCGGGTGCGAGACTCGTCCTTCTGCTGGCGGAATAACACAAAGCCGAATAGGAGCTCTCGGCTGTTAATAACACAGTCGCGAGTTAGCCAGGAAAAGTACACGGCATTAAGCATCAAGATACTGCAACGAACTCCTCAGGGTCGTCTCGAAAGCGCACAATGAACTGCGTATCGCCCTCGTCCTGGTTGTTGCAGTGGGGCAGTGACAAATGCGCAAGACTCGTCTTGGCAGCCTCAGATAGACCACAAGTCGGAGGATACAGCGCGTCGAGCTTTTGTCCAGAGTCTATGTCGAATACAACGGTTGCGAGCGCGCGCAGACCGTAGGTGGAGGCGAGCTGCTGGGGATCAGTGTCGTCGCCATCGGCAGCAACAGCGGCATTCATCTGTGCAATAAGGTGGTGAATATGTCTGATTGGCTGATCTATTATTTCGCTAACAATTAGCGACCCCCTAACAATTAGAATTTAACTATTAAATTTTTTCAACCAAGAACTTCGCAAGAATGCATGGAGACGGTAAATTCTACACTTAGAACGACAGGATCTTCTTGTTGGGGCTAAGGATGAAAGTTGTCTGCGTTGGGATGGAGCAAACTGATGTGGTCAGGCAGACATGAAGGAAGCGAACACAAGTAGAAGAAGCTGCATCTACGCTCCACATACTACACGGAACCTCAGAGCCCGAGGCAATCTCCATGGGGATTCTCAACGACCAAGAAGGACTACATGTAGCTTATCGGCGTGAATCAAGTGAAATTAATTGGCAAATTGTTCTAAATACTGAACGCTTTCACCGAAGTGTCCTCAACAGAATCCTGAAGCTTCTTCAGCTTCGAAATAATCGACGAAAATGCGAATAACGAGCACTTCAACTTGCCCAAAATGCAGCAACCAATTTACAGTTCTAGCCCAATTTCGTTTTGGCCAATCGTAACTCGAGTTGCATCGATTTGTGGTTTGAAACGCATCGCCTTCATCGAAATGCTGGGAAGACAAGGTCTGGGCGCGGTGCGGTCGACGTGGCGCACCTCATGGACGACACCGGCGCGCCAACTGCAGCGCACAGTGTCCACCAAGATCCTGTCTCGTCGCTCCACCATTCGTGATGCGCGAGAGCAAGGCAGTGGCTTGCGCGTGGCTATTGGTGGCTGGGTCAAGTCAGTCCGCAAGCATAAATCCGTGAGCTTCGTGAACGTCAACGACGGGTCGTGTCTAGGCGAGCTGCAGATCACGCTGCCGGCTGAGGAGGCTGAAGGATCCACGAATGGGATCATCGGGGCTAAACTTAGCGATATTACAGTCGGATCCAGCATCTTCGCGGAAGGAGAGTTACGCGAGGTGCCTGGAGGCAAGCAGAGGCGTTTAGAGCTGCACCCAAGCACACTCGAGGTGCTTGGCAAGTGCGACACGCAAGCATACCCACTGCAGAAGAAGTATCACTCGCTTGAATTTCTGCGCGAGAACCTGCATCTACGCGCACGCACCAACACATTTGGTGCTGTGACCCGGGTGCGCAACGCTCTTGGGTACGATTGCGGGATTCAGATGGATTAGAGCGTAGTTTGATGATACTGATGGTTGCGCGTGTTTTGGTTGTGTTTGTTAGTCAAGGACTGCACTCGTACTTCCAGGAAAATGACTTTCTGCATTTGCACAGTCCAATCCTGACGTCGAACGACTGCGAGGGTGCCGGCGAGATGTTCCGTATCGCTAAAATCGGTAAGTATTGGTCATGTATGATATTGTTGACTTATGTTCTTGTAGCTAATAATCACTACGCTATGTCTTAACTGCCATGTAGATGGGAAGGACGAGGAGTTCTTTGGCACGCCGACGTATTTAACGGTATCTGGCCAGCTACATGCTGAGATGTACGCTTCCGCTCTGAGCAAGGTGTACACTTTTGGCCCAACATTCCGTGCAGAAAACAGCAACACCACCCGTCATTTGGCAGAGTTCTGGATGGTTGAGCCTGAGATGGCGTTCGCGGGCCTCGAAGAGTGCGTTGCTTCGGCCCAGGGTGCTATCCAGCGTTCTGTGGCGCATGCGTTGAATACTTGTGCTGAAGACATTGCGTTCTTCAACAAGAATTACGACAAGAAAATCGCTGAGCGACTGGAGCGTGTTGTGGAGAAAGACTTTGCCCGCTTAACCTACACGGAAGCCATCGAGGTTCTTCAGAAAGCAGTGGCAGAGGAAAGGGGCAAAGTGAACTTTGAAAAGAAACCCGAGTGGGGAATGGACTTACAGACGGAACATGAGCGTTTTCTGGCTGAAAAATACGTTGGCGGACCGGTCTTCGTGACGGACTACCCGGCAGGCATCAAGGCCTTTTACATGCGCAAGAATGCACCCGATGAGCAAAACCGAGAGACGGTGGCAGGCATGGACCTGCTGGTGCCAAAAATTGGTGAACTCGTCGGTGGTAGTGTTCGTGAAGAGCGTTTCGAGGTGCTGGAGAAGAAAATGCGTCATCTTGGTTTGATCCCTGAAGAGGATCTTGATGAAGAATCCATTGCTTCTGCCGGTGGAGATCTCGACTGGTACTTAGACTTGCGTCGCTTCGGTTCGGTACCTCACGCTGGTTGGGGCCTTGGCTTCGAACGACTTGTGCTTTTCGCCACGGGAATGGATAATATCCGCGATGTGATCCCACTACCTCGCTTCCCTGGCCAGTGCAAACACTAGTTTTTCCACTCATTTTAGAGAACTTTGTGAAAGTGAAGACCAGCTCGTGCACGAAGAGAAGTAATTACATTTTCATTGTGTACACATTGGTTGATTCATTTGCACATTTCGTCTTGTTTGGTTGGTTTTTTTGTACATGGACGTCCGCCGATCGTTGTTGTCCTCGTGCTATCTTTCTGCTTTATTGACATGTCATCCCTTGCGTATCTTCGGCTCCGCATTATGTTTCTCGTCACAAACTAGTTGGTAGTCAGTCCCTGGGCGTTCACCTCTCACATCCGGGCCAGCTCTACAGTTGCACGTCAAATATTGTCTTCGCTTCTGGATCGGATGGTTAGTTGAGGAGTCTTAGCGCTGCGTTCTCGAATGGCTTCATAAATCACTGGGGAAACAACTTGCTCAGTAGATCCCGATTGATCTCAAAGAGCTTGTTCTTGTCCTCCAGTAGCACCGCATTTTCCTGCTGAAGTGCCTTGCGTTCGCTCTGCAGAGTGTCTACCTCTCGCTGCTTAGCATCCAGCATGTGCTTCAGGGCTTCGTTCTCCTCTGCGACGAACTTCAGTTGTGCCTGGAGACGGTTGGTGTACAAACTGTTTCCCAGCAAATAGTTGTGCAACGACGCCAGGCTGTCGTTCTGGTCGTCACCCTGCTCTTGCTGCGAGCCCACGTGTTTGCCTTCGCTCGATGGTGTCCGTGACTTCTTGATGCGTAGAAGAATATTCACTGGATCGTTGAATGAGTTCGAGAAAACAGGACTTTGAGCAGGGTTCAACTCAGGTCGAGCCACTTGTGTCATACCCAGTGACTGAGCCAAAAGCTCGGGTCGGCTCTCCGTGCCAGAGACAACTACACCCGGAGGTGCATTTGCTGTTGAGAATCCAGAAAAACCGTTGTACTCGTACTGCGGCTGAAAGACTGGCTGTTGTTCAGAACCAGCCTGCTGTCGCTGAATGAGGCGGCTGCGCACGATGTTTAGCGTCGGTAGTGCCCCCATGGAAGTAGGCGTTGCAGTAGCAGCGTATCCATTGTCTGAGCTGGTACGACTGCTGTTGCTAACGGACATCAACGAGGAGGGCGTGAAGCCAGAGACGCTCATTGACGGCACAGTCGATGAGTTCACGAGGGAGTTGGATGCCTCGCTAGATTGCACCAGCGAGGCTTGTATGGCAGCACTTGATAAGTAGTCCTTCTTGTCGAGTTTCTTGGCTTTCTTCTTGCACTCAGTGGCCGCCACGGGCGAAATGACGTTGTTCAGCTCCGGTAGATACTGGCGAGTCAGGCCATCTTGTGAGAAGCCCAAAGCTGCGTTAGATGAAGCGCCATGAGGCGTCGTCATGGCACTGAGCGGCATCCCGTTAATAGCAGGCTGGATAGGAACAGATGATGTGTTCATTTGAATGTGCATCCCCGTGCTTTGAGCGGGAAAGCCTTCCGAGTTTCCTTCATCCGATGGGAGCTTCCGTTTGCCACAAGGCGACATTTTCATTGACGTCGGACCCGCAGTAGTAGCTGTAGTCCCATTGGTTGGTGTGCTGCCAGCTCCACTAGCGGGGGTTCGTCGAGGGGCCTTTTTGCGCTTGATGAGCTGCAGTAATTCTGGCTGGTTCTCCCGGAAGAAGGGGTGGCTGAAGGTGCAGATATCCGTCTTGGACTTGGTCCATTTGCGGAAGCCAAAGTAGTTGAGTTGGCGCTGGAAGCTGTGAAAGTTGGTGTGGTTGAAATACTTTGGAAGGATCTGCTCCGTGACAGTCACGGGGTCCAGGATCTGCAATGCCAGGCCGTCCTCGGACCACCGGATCACGCGGGAGCTCTCCACCTCCAGGATCTCATACAGCAGCAGCAGGAACTTCGGAGCTTCGGGTCTCGCGCGCTTGCTGCCTTCCTTGATCGTGGCCAGGTTCCACCCGTTCTGTGGCTGCTGCGTCCCCTGAGGCGAAACGCTTGTCGAGTCGCACGTCCTGGCAGCTTGGCGCGTTTTGGAGGCGCTGCGCTTCGCCGTCGTCGGCGGCTCCTGCTTCATGTCGATGCGCTGCGTGATAGGGTCCATGGTGAGAGTCACTTGCGCCACCATTGACGTCTGGCGCTCGCTTCTCCGCTGCGACAGCGGCTCGGCTCGCTCGCGTTCGAATGTGTGCTGGAAAAAAGAAGCTGCGCTTGCCGCAATGGCTGCTTCAGCGGTCGCGCGCGCAATCTTCTGCAAAGATCGAAGGAAAAAAGGCGCTGCGGCGACCAAGCCTTGCTGCTGCGCGGTAATAACAGTGCTTCGCTGGCTAAGGCTGGCTAAGGCGTGTGCGTGCCTGGAAAGCCTCGGTGAAGCAGACAAAATCGATTGCGGGGTTTCGGCGAATCTTAGCGAGTGGACTCGCTGGAGCTTGAGGTTTCTTTTATTTTTGCTTCTCTTTTTCGCATCGGCATGATACTGTACGGTATCCTCCCTGATTTGCAAAAAAAAAAAAAAACTCAGACTCGCGCTGCAACATGTTCGACGGAAAAAGGCATTGTATGGCGCCGCTAGCACAGCGCGGTGAGCACTACGTGGTTGTCCAGTGCTCTACTGGAAGCCTGTCATGCGAAGACAGCTTAGCTGCCTCGCGTTGGGGGCCCAAACCCGGAGTTTTGGGCACTTCCTGCGAATCATTGTCGAGACAATTATGTACTGTCTGCGTGAGCAGCCGGAAGTTTCTGCGAAGGTTTTTCTGGAAGGATCAGCTCGAAAAGACCCATTTCTAAAATTGTGTCCGTTCCGAGATGTCCGATTTCGACTGGGATGACTGGCAATTTTGCCGCAAGTGATCACTTAGAGCGCTGCCACCGGTGGAGTGAATGAATAGTGAAAATTGCCTCGATTGGCGAGCGACAACCTAGAAACGTAAACTTAATACAGGTAGATTTCGCACCGGTTCATAGTAAAACACGACTGAAACGAGGGGGATACGAGCGAGAGTATCTCAATGAACCTAGCAAAAGACAACGAAGAGCTTCATTGTTGAATAGGAGGAAAGAGAAGATGGGGATGACAAGCTCCTCTCCGTAATCCACTCGTTTTAGCATGCTCAGTCCCGGTGTTCTACGCCATCGAGGCATGGCTGCAGATTTAGACGATGGCAGGTCAAAAAAAAAATGAGAAGGATCGTTTGTAAATGTACCATGCGCTCATACTGATGCAAATATGCGGGCTCTGATTGGTTATCTGTTTACCCGCCACGAAGTGATCGAGTCGTCAAATTTGACGTCGGGATCCCTCATTATCACCCGTAGGCAAATATTTTTCACGGTGCCAGGGGAAATATGCAAAACTTTTCCCCAACCGGTGGCAGTGATCATTTTTACCCACAAAAATGAACATCTCGAACAAAATATGGAACGATTATTCGTAGCATTTTCTTTTGTGCAGCAATGCGTGTGTGTGTGTGTGTTTTTTTTTTTCTGAAATCAGTATCTAATTTAAATTACGACCAATAAATTCTGTCAAGACGAGAGAGTGTCCAAGTTGGAGACAAGAGAGGGTTCTGTGCACTCATTTTAAGTGCACAGAACCCAAAGACTTATGTTCAAAGTACCCTATCGGTTATGTCATTGGTGGTTAAACATTATAGGAGGTAGCAGCAACATAAAACATTTTTACCGCATATTTGTTTTGCCAACTCGTAAAAACTCGAGCGCGGAAATGCGCAGCCACCATTGATTCCAGAGATCATCAACTACCTCCATAACGCATGCATCGCCTACACGGCAGCGCGTAAGGTCATTTATCAATTTGTCATCCATCCATCAAGCAAACAGTATACAGAAGCCATGAGAAAGCAACCAGAATGCAAGCGTATTCACGAAAACGGACGCCGAGACGCTCTGTTTGTTCGCGAGGCGTAAAAATACAAGTTCAAGCTGCGCGTACTTCCGTCTTTGGACAGAACAAACATTGGGGCTACCCTGGAGCGTGTGTACGAGCGCTAGTAACTCTTCGGCGCACAAACTGATCTACAAATGATCACGCAACCGTATTCGCATTGAGGCTAGCCAAGGCGGTCTCGCTGAAGGGCGGCGAGCACGAATTCAAGGGATTCGCATTACTCTTCCTTCATCCACCGAAGCCGCTCTTGTGAAGTGAATTAACGGTTATCGCCGAGACGGGGTCCCTATTTCTCTCACCATGCTAAATCCAAGGGTACTAGATGTTGCTAAAGAGATCGACATTCTAAACGGATATTTTGCGGCATCCATCAGCTGGGTAAATAGTTTCACAAGGCGCCACCGGTTCTCCTTTTTGCGCGAAAACGCACCAAGGTCAAGAAGATCTGCTGCTGCAATTGCAAGGGTGAAGGCTTTTGCAAAGGAAGTTGCGAGAGTTATAGCAGCGGAGGGCATCACGGACATCTTCAACGCCGACCAAACAGTGGTGTTCTTTGAGTCGCTGCCTAGGACGACGCTCACGCCAACGGGCTCCAAAACCGTGCGGTTGAAATGTGGGAAGAAGGAAAAGGAGCGGATGACTGCGGTGGTCATGGGGGACGTGCACGGGAATAAGTACTCGCTATTTCTTGTGATGAAGGCACTCCATCCAGAGTAGCTGAGATGGCTGCGGAGAACAAGCGTCTACGGCACGGGTTTGACCGTCGTGTTTGTAGTGAGATTAGAGAGGTTCAAGAGCGATATGGTGTGCAGATATTCGGTAATAAGACGGCGTGGTGGCCTGGCAAGCTTACCGTCGAGTTTCTCCACTTTTGCTTTGGCCGTTGGAGTTTGTTGAGCAAGCCAATCTTACTTCTGCTTGACGATTTCAGTGGTCATTGGGTGGACGAGGCGGCGATTTATGCAGCCAAATTGAAGATCGTCCGCATGAAAGGTTCTTCGGGGTTAGCATGGCTGTGCCAGCCAGCGGACGCCGGTTGGATGAAGCCCATCAAAAACAGACTCCGGCGCCACTGGGTCAACCATCTGCGGGAACAATTGTCAGCACACCAATCCGGACAAATTGGGGCTTCTGCGCCGTTTTCACTTGAGGTTCCACGGCGCTCCACTGTCGCCTAGTGGATTGTCAACGCGCGGTATGACATCCATTCGTCAATGATATGATTTCACAAAGTGCCGCATTGGACAGGGAGACGATGTTGTGGACGGTACTGACGATCCTGGGTTACAGCAGGAGGTTTATAAAGTCGTTGCCGAGCTAGAAAAGGGCTGCTATTCTCAGGTGTAGCCGCTAACGAAGCGGATGTAGTAGACGACTTAGTAGCTAGCACCCTGTGAGTAGAATAGATAAAAAGTTGTCACTTGAGGAGGGACGCTCAAAACCCAAAGCCCAAAACGGACGATGCTCCTACCACAGAATCTAGAAGGACAAAAATCAATTTACAACGGTGCACAAGACCTGGCTCTACAGCTATTAAAACAGATGTAAAATACTTACCCATTAACTAGGGTAAATATATATTATTTTCCTATTTAGTGTTCCGAATATACACCATTATGGAGCAGTAATAAAGAGCAAAGTCTATTTTGGGGGATTCTGGGACTTAGGTTTTTTTTGCGAGTCCTATTTTCTTTCTGTATAATTTTGGTAACAAAATTTGGTAATGTTTTTCACAGAAAACACAATATATTGAAGTTGAAGTTAAATCTTGCTCTCAACGAAAATCAGCGCCTTGTGTAGGAAGCGCATCCGTAAATAAGGCAGGAGGTCGTAAATGCATTTGCCCCACGGCTTCTTAGCGAGGAGCATCTCCACGACTGCGATACACCATACTCCACACGAGCTGCCATCCTGTTGGTTGCACCATTTCACTTTCTCATAGATAACCTGATCTTGTAGTTGCAGCAGATCTTCAATCGTCGCTCGAACGCTCTTTTCGATGATGTTGTAGTTGTGGGAGGATTGCATAGGGTCGAACATGTAACATGTCGCCTTCATTGTCTTGGGACGAATGTTTCGATCAACAAGAAATGCTACCCAGTGCAGATCAATATGAAAGATGCATATGACTCGCTCGTTCTTGGGATCACTTGCACGAAAACCATCAGCCGTACGCAGCCTTTGATCCGGGAGTTTAAAGTCTTGATAGCTAGGGTTGATGATGCCGACGCCGCGATACTCATCCCGCAGCACCAACATCGACACTTGAATCGACGCCGTATGAAGCCACACGTTTTCGCGGAAGTCGAGAAGCTGGTACCCCGACACAACCTCCCTGGGGATTTTATTAACGCTGAGGTTTAGAGCTTCCACATACCACTTGTGCTCGT